CTGAGTACAGATGGCTTAAAGTGGTTCTGTTCTCTCTTCTGTCAAGGCCATGCTGACTCTAAAAGTACGGCCAGAAGGAGCCCGGGTTTCACTTTCTCTATCTGTTTTCCTTCTGGTGTGGTGTTCCGTGCACAGTATGCTTAAGTGTTAAGGTTTAGACTCGTTACAAGTTATTTGTAAGTTTAAGTGAAGTCTGCTGCAACTGGATCTCTTATGAACAGTGCCAATCCTGAATGTATTGGATTTGTGAACCATTATGCTCATTTGCCTTCAGGAGCAGTAAAGCTCTGCTGGTTGAAATATTAATTGCCTCTGGCCCTATTTTTGGAGAATCCTGCAACGTGTTTTAAGTTTTTACTCTGCTAACTATACAGTGGTACCTCTAGATAAGAATGGGATCCGTTCCAGAGTCCCGTTTGCATCTAGAGGTAAACGTAACTAATGACGGCACATCTGCGCATGCATGTGTCGCTTTTCGCCGCTTCTGCGCATGACGTCATTTTGAGCATCTGCGCATGCGGCGAAACCCGGAAGTAACACACTCTGTTGCTTCCGGGTTGCTGAGGAGTGCAACTCGAATGCGCTCAACTCGAAGCATTAAATATACCTGAGGTATGACTGTAGATTGGAATCTGTTCTGGATTAATATCGAGTAGAATTTCAATGACAAGTTTGACCTCAGTTTGCTAGTAAAACCAAATTACTGTGTTGTGAAAAGATGCGTGTCTAGAAAAGTGTCTTGCTGACATGAAAAGTTTGGAAAGCTCTGTCCCCTCTGGGTCCCTTAAAGGTAAAGGTCAAGGGACCCCTGACCGTTAGGTCCAGTTGTGGCCGACTCTGGGGTTGTGGCGCTCATCTCGCTTTACTGGCCAAGGGAGCCGTCATACAGCTTCCAGGTTATGTGGCCAGCATGACTAAACTGCTTCTGGCGAAACCAGAGCAGCGCATGGAAACGCCGTTTACCTTCCCGCCAGAGTGGTACCTACTTATCTACTTGCACTTTGCCGTGCTTTCGAACTGCTAGGTTGGCAGGAGCAGGGACCGAGCAACGGGAGCTCACCCCGTCGCGGGCATTTGAACCGCCGACCTTCTGATTGGCAAGTCCGAGGCTCTGTGGTTTAACCCACTGCGCCATCCGCGTCCCTTGTAATAATAATAATAATAATAATAATTTATTATTTATACCCCGCCCATCTGGCTGGGTTTCCCCAGCCACTCTGGGCGGCTTCCAACTGAATATTAAAAACAGTACAGCATCAAACATTAAAAACTTCCCTAAAGAGGGCTGCCTTCAGACGACTTTTAAAAGTAAAATAGTTGTTTGTTGCTTTGACATCTGCTGGGAGGGCGTTCCACAGGGCGGGCGCCACCACCGAGAAGGCCCTTGTAAACCCGAGTTACCGTGTCGTGAAAAGACGCGTGTCTCGCAAAGTGTCTCGCCGACGTGGAAAGCTCTGCCCCCCCCCTGGGTCCCCCCTTCCAACTCTACGATTCTCACACCAGGGCGCGAAGGCACACGGCGAGTCCCCCCAAGAGGAAAGGAGGAAGCGGACGGGAGGCTGCCGGTTCCCGCAGGGGCTCCGCTTCCTTCTGCTCCGAGGAGGCGAGCTCCCGATCCGCCCTGCGCTGCCCGGTCCCCCGCCGCCCCCGAGGCCCCCGCCTGAGTCTCCCAAGGGCCACACGGAAGCCCCCTTCCGGCCCCCGTTACCCACCAGGCGTCGCGCGCCCGCTTGGTCTCCGGGCAGGCGCAGCAGGGCTTGAGGGAGGCCGGAGGCTTCTGCTCGGCCGCCGCCGCCGCCGCGGGGGACGGGAGACCCGGAGAGTCGCGGGGGGCCACGGTCGACATGGCTGCCGGTCGCGCAGGCGCAGAAAGACGCACGCACCCACGCCCCGGCGCCGGGTGTCCGTCTCCCCACTCACTTCCGCCGCCTCTTCCGCCACACTCGGCTCGCCATTGGACGCCGGGCGAGGGGGAGGAGGTCGGTGGGAGTGCGCCTGCGCGCGCGCCGCAGAGCGGAGAAAGACCGTCCCGAAATGATAGAGGTGGGAGGACTTGGCTTCAAGGACTGCGCGAGGGTTTATTGCAGCAAAATAAAATGAAATAAAAAGACACGACAGCACAATCGCCTTGGTTTGCAGTTGGGCCAAAGGGGGATGGAGAGGAGACAGAACCAGGCTGAGTCAGCCAGCAGCCTTCAACCTTTTCAGGATCAGATCCCGCATTTAATATTGCAGCTGCAAAAAGGGTTTGGTTTTTTATCCAGCCACCCCGTTTATGCCCACTTTTCTTTTCTAAAAAGAGTGGCCGTGTCACGCAGGAATGAAAAGGATAAAAGGCGGCAGACGGAGGGGCAACAACTTCAGCAAGAAGCAGAGTTTGTTTGTTGGTTTGTTTTCAATGGAATAATAAAGCACAATATTTAGCAAACCCCCAAAAAGAAAAGTATTGCACTCCAAAATGCCTTCTGACACTGTTACTGTATTTGGGACTGCAAGCTTTTCAGAACAAGCAGCCTGCCCTCTTGTCTTCATAGATTCATAGAGTTGTGGAGGTGGAAGGGAGGACGAGGGTCATCTAGTCTAACCCCCTGCAAGGCAGGACTCTTCTGTGAAGTCCTATGCGCGCTGACCATGCTATGCAAACAAATGCAAACTTAAGAGCTAAGGGAATTCTGGACTCCTTTCCCTCCCTCTCCTCTCCTAAAAGAAAAAGGGAAAACCCAAAGAGAAATTAGCAGCAGTGTCTCTGATATGATCAAGACCTGACCCACTACTGGAAGACAAATGCGCTAAGCAACACATGGATACAAGCATCACAGTGGTACCTCGGGTTAGAGGCGCTTCAGGTTGAAGATGAAGACGCTTCAGGTTACAGACTCCGCTAACCCAGAAATAGTACCTTGGGTTAAGAACTTTGCTTCAGGATGAGAACAGAAATCGTGCAGCGGCGGCGTGGCAGCAGTGGGAGGCCCCTTTAGCTAAAGTGGTGCTTCAGGTTAAGAACAGTTTCAGGTTAAGAACGGATCTCTGGAACGAATTAAGTACCTAACCCGAGATACCACTGCATATCCGATGTCCTAAACATCGCTTTAGTAAAGGTAAAGGTACCCCTGCCCATACGGGCCAGTCTTGCCAGACTCTAGGGTTGTGCGCCCATCTCACTTAAGAGGCCGGGGGCCAGCGCTGTCCGCAGACACTTCCGGGTCATGTGGCCAGCATGACATCGCTGCTCTGGCGAGCCAGCGCAGCACACGGAACGCCGTTTACCTTCCCGTCAGTAAGCGGTCCCTATTTATCTACTTGCACTCAGGGGTGCTTTCGAACTGCTAGGTTGGCAGGCGCTGGGACCGAACAACGGGAGCACACCCCGCCGCGGGGATTCAAACTGCCGACCATGCGATCGACAAGTCCTAGGCGCTGAGGTTTTTACCCACAGCGCCACCCGCGTCCCTAAAACATCGCTTTACTTGCCTTGTAAAAAAGAGGGGGGAAACTGTCAGGCAACCCAGGTCTCCCTAGGGATGAAGTTCCACAAGCTTAGACCTTTGTTGGCAAGGTGATGTCTCTGCTTTTTAAGATGCTGTCTAGGTTTGTCACTGCAGATGGTGACAGCAGCTACGAAATTAAAAGACGCCTGCTTCTTGGGAGTAAAGCAATGACAAACCTAGACAGCATCTTCAAAAGCAGAGACATCACCTTACCAACAAAGGTCTGTATAGTTAAAGCTATGGTTTTCCCAGTAGTGATGTATGGAAGTGAGAGCTGGACCATAAAGAAGGCTGATGGCCGAAGAATGGATGCTTTTGAATTCTGGTGCTGGAGGGGACTCTGGAGAGTCCCCTGGACTGCAAGAAGATCAAACCTCTCCATTCTGAAGGAAATCAGCCCTGAGTGCTCCCTGGAAGGACAGATCCTGAAGCTGAGGCTCCAAGGCTTTGGCCACCTCATGAGAAGAGAAGACTCCCTGGAAAAGACCCTGATGTTGGGGAAGATGGAGGGCACAAGGAGAAGGGGACGACAGAGGACGAGATGGTGGGACAGGGTTCTGGAAGCTACCAGCATGAGTTTGACCAAACTGCGGGAGGCAGTGGAAGATAGGAGGGCCTGGCGTGCTCTGGTCCATGGAGAGTTGGACACGACTAAATGATTAAACAACAACAGAGTTGGAAGGGACCTGAGGATCATCTAGTCCAACCCCATGCAATGCAGGAATATGCAGCTGTCCTGTATGGGGATGGAACCTGCAACCAGGGCCGGATTTAGGTCTGATGAGACTCTAAGCTACTGAAGGTAATGGGGCCCTTTGTATGTCCAGCTGTCCTTTGTCAACAACAAATTGTAGCTGCTTTTTGTGTTGAATATATTGCTATATGGTATATTTGGACAGTGTTCTTGAAGCTACGAACATGAGTTTGACTAAACTGCGGGAGGCAGTGGAAGACAGGAGTGCCTGGCATGCTCTGGTCCAGGGGGTCACGAAGAGGCAGACACGACTAAACGACTAAACAACAAATGTTTTAAACATACCTGAGATCTCTTGATGAAGGGCGGTATATCAATTTAATAAATATTAACAGCCATCCGTTGTTAGTCCCCTGAATTTGCAATTAAGTGTATTGGGGGGGGGGGGCTCATTTAATTTCACTGCACACAGGTGGTGTAGTGATAATGAAGGTTTATTATTATTATTACTGTTCTGGAAGCTGCCAGCCTGAGGGAGGCAGTGGAAGACAGAAGTGCCTGGCGTGCTCTGGTCCAGGGGGTCACAAAGGGGCGGACACGACTAAAGGACTCAACAACCACCAGGTTTGTCACCGCTCTTCTCCCAAGAAGGAGGCGTCTTCTAATTCCGCGGCTGCTGCAAGAACTCGCCTCCTCCCCTCCTGCTCCGAGCGCGGCTCCTCTGCATTTTCCTATCTCTGCGGCTTCAGGTGTGCGCGCGCAGGCCGCTCCCCTCCCCGCCGAGTCCCGGCGTTGCCATGGCGACGTCTTGGGCCTAGCAGAGCGCCGGGCGGCGGCGGCGGCGAAGGGGCGAGATGAGCCGCTCGGTGACGGTGGGTCGGGCGGCGGCGGCGCCCCCCGGGGCCCGTTACCGGAGGGCCGTGGCGCCCAGCCGGGCCTTCGACTTCCTCTACGGTGATTGGCGGGAGCTGCGGGGCGGGGAAGGGCCGGGAACCGGGACTGCGCTCCGCCTTTTCCCTCACGGGGGCGCCGGGCGGGCGGCTGAAGGACACCCAGAAGAGGGGGGGGGGGCGCGATCGCCTTGAAGACACAATGAAAGACGGAGATACATTGAAAACACAGATAATTACTAGAAAGACAGCGCAGGAAGTGGCATGGTTAATAATAATAATAATAATAATAATAATAATAATATTTATTTATTTATTTTTTACTCTGCTTTTCCCCCAGACACAGAGACTCACAAGCAGTTTACAGATAAAAAGAAGAGCTAAAAACAGAGCATGGGGAGGAGGGAGGGACACAAAGGTTTTTGTAAAAGAAAACCACAATTAAACATGGAAATACATTAAAAACACAGATAATTATTATAAAGACAGCGCAGGAAGTGGCATGGTTAATAATAATAATAATAATAATAATAATAATAATAATAATAATAATATTTTTTTTTACTCTGCTTTCCCCCAGACACAGAGACTCACAAGCAGTTTACAGATAAAAAGAAGAGCTAAAAACAGAGCATGGGGAGGAGGGAGGGAGGCAATGGTTTTTTTTAAAGAAAACCACAATTAATAATAATAATAATAATTTTTTATTTATACCCCGCCCTCCCCAGCCAAGGCCGGGCTCAGAGCGGCTTACAAGCAATAATAAAAACAAGAAGAATGATTACAACTTAAAAACAAAAATAAAATACAACCTTAAAATAATGGAACATTAAAATATTAAAATGTAGCCTCATTGCAGGAGGAGAAGGAAAAGAATAAAGAAAGAGAGGGAGGGAGGGAATCAAATTAAATCAAATTTAATCAAATCAATTAAACATGGAAATACATTAAAAAGACAGATAATTGCTATAAAGACAGCACAGGAAGTGGCATTGTTGTTGTTTTTATATATATATATATATATATACCCTGCTTCCCCCCCAGAGACAGGGACTCACAAGCAGTTTACAGATAAAACTAAGAAGAGCTAAAAACAGAGCATGGGGAGGAGGGAGGGAGGCAATCGTTTAAAAAACCACAACCACAATTAAACATGGAAATACATTAAAAAGACAGGTATTTACATTAAAGACAGCACAGGAAGTGGCATTGTTGTTATTATTTTTATACCCTGCTTTTTCCCCTGAAAGGGACTCCCAAGAACTCCCAAGCAGTTTTCTGTACAGATAAAAATAAGAACAGCTAAAAACGTGGGGGAGGGGAATAAGCATTTGAAAATACAATTAAACATGAATAGAATGAAGACTAAAGCGCACCCATAAAGATATTCCGAGTTGTGCTTCATGGGAGCAGCGCCCACAACAGGCGCACAGACCCACAACATGCCGTAATAAAGGTGGATTATACCCTCCCTTCCAGTGAGTGCAGAAGACAGGAGATCATATTCATTTCCAGCTTTAAAAAAAAAGTCGTCACCAATGATATTTCAATCAATCGTAACTCATGTTAGATCACATTGGTCTTTACCACTGCCACCCGCTGCCCTAGGTGAGTGCTGCAAAGTGGAATTTGTGGTTTTTTTTCTTGCTACCTTTACACCTCTGCTCTAATGTGTTGGCTGCAAACATCAATTTACACAGGTAACTATGTACCTGTTTTACTATGTTTAGGCATTTCACTCCCCATCCCCAATGTGGTTCCTGGAAATGCAAATTGGCATGAGATTTTATTTCCCCTATAGTTATCTTGTTATTGCCCTGCCCCCGCCCCCGTAAAGTCATTTTTCTGACGCTTTGACACATTTTGACATTTAGCTCTTACCGTTCCCTCATCGATGTGGTTGATGCAAGCAGTAATCAATATTATTTACCTGTTTTCTGTTTTTTGTATCACAGCCTTTTAACAGCGCTCCTCATCCAAATAAACAGGAAATTTATGATATTTCCTTTCAACCTTTTTTATTGTGGTAGCACATCTGATTTGATTGATTGACTGATTTAATTTCTATACTGTTTAATATATTAAATTTTCCTCTAATTGGTGTACAAAAAACTGAAGCAACAGAAAACTTAAGCAAACTATTACATTTTTAAATGTTACATTAATACATACATATATATATATATATATATATAATATATATATATATATATATATTTGCTTTCGTAGATTTTCACGGGTACAGGAATGCAGGTTTTGGTGTCCTCGGGTGTCTTCCCGTGTAAAAGTTGGGGTGTCTAGGCGACGTTTCGACGAGGTCTCACTCGTCATCTTCAGGCTGGTGTTTTCGGCTCCTTGTTACTGGAACAGAGCAGGATCTCAGTGTTTGAGTTCCTATAAATACTGTTGAGGGGGTGTGGTGTATAGCCTCCAATGTTCTGGGCAGAGAGGAAGTTCCCAGGCTAGTGTGCCTTTTCTTCTTTTGTTCCTTAATTACTTGAGGGATATCTTGAGTGATTTCTTGAGTGATATTCTGAGTACCACTTAGGTGGGTCATTAGGTGTGGATTAGTTGCTAAAGCCTTCGTGTCTTGACCTCTTGAGCTTTGTGAAGAGTTTTTCTGAGAAGATGGCTGTACTGCACTTAGTTGTGCTCTGGCTTGGCTTCGTGTATAGGGGCGAGCTGTGGTTTTGTGTCCTGTGCAGGGATTGCAGGGGGGTGCAGCATCCGGAGGTGCCACCATGGTTTGGCTATCCAGACACCATCCAGTAGCCAAACCATGGTGGCACCTCCGGATGCTGCACCCCCCTGCAATCCCTGCACAGGACACAAAACCACAGCTCGCCCCTATACACGAAGCCAAGCCAGAGCACAACTAAGTGCAGTACAGCCATCTTCTCAGAAAAACTCTTCACAAAGCTCAAGAGGTCAAGACACGAAGGCTTTAGCAACTAATCCACACCTAATGACCCACCTAAGTGGTACTCAGAATATCACTCAAGAAATCACTCAAGATATCCCTCAAGTAATTAAGGAACAAAAGAAGAAAAGGCACACTAGCCTGGGAACTTCCTCTCTGCCCAGAACATTGGAGGCTATACACCACACCCCCTCAACAGTATTTATAGGAACTCAAACACTGAGATCCTGCTCTGTTCCAGTAACAAGAAGCCGAAAACACCAGCCTGAAGATGACGAGTGAGACCTCGTCGAAACGTCGCCTAGACACCCCAACTTTTACACGGGAAGACACCCGAGGACACCAAAACCTGCATATATATATATATATATATATATATATATATATATATAAAATATATATTCCTTCTGAAACATCTCTCAACCTCTGGGTTCTCACCCAGGGTCCAAAGTCCAAATAAACTCTCAGCTCACCCTTAAGAGTCTCTCAACAAGAAGCATTTGTGGAAACTGCAGACATCACCCTAGTCTCTCACCCTAGACTTCCTTTATGTGGGCAAGCCCAAGGTGGATGGCACTTCCGCAGGCTGCCCACAGCTGTGCCCCATTCAGCTGCACACTCGACAACCAGCTCCAGGTATAGCAGGTTTGTTTCTTTTCTAAGGGGCCCAAAGAATGGGGAAAGGTACTCCCCACACTCACAGCTGTTTCTTCAACTGGACACACGCGCACCCCAACATGAGTGCTGTAAACAGCATCACCACCTTTTTATTGTGGCATCCCGTCTGATCCTCTCCCCCTGCCCTGTGTGGTGGCTGGAAAAAGGAACTTAAACCCACTATGTTCCCCAATCTTACTTTATTTTAAGTACACCTCTCTAAAAATAGGAAAACAATGGGAAGTGAAACACAAATTTGACCAGGAGTGTCACATAAAACAGACACAGTGCTTAACCCGGTTCAACTATTAGAAACAACATTCCCCCCACCAGCCAGATGTGCCACAAGGAAACTAGGAGGGGCTAAAAGGTACACGCCTCTTCATGTTCCATGGCAGACGTGACACGGAAGGGGTGAAGAAAAGAGGCTGGCATGAAGGGCAGGGCAAATCAGGGGTCAGCACTTTGCTCTCCAGACTCCAGGTGAGCCCTACCATTGCCAAGGCTAGTTGGAGTCAGTCTTGGTGTCTGCAGTGAGGCACTGTAAGCACTCGTTGGTAGCCATGTTTCATCTGAGTCACCAGTTTCAAAGTGAAAGAATAGCTGGGAGGAAGGGGAAAGGTCCTATATGTTATCACTCAGCCTAATATTCATTCATAAGTTTAATGAAAATGTTTCTCTTTACTGTATTTATATGTGTTTTAGATCCATTATATACACTTTCAAGTGAGAGAGACCATGCACAAGCCACAGTCCAGTCTCACCTGCTTCACGATGAAATGGTAGGTGGCTTACAGTCTTTAAAGCAGTTCTTGCAGTTTTTGTTCAAGGCAAAGGAGGAACCGGAAGCACAGTTAGAGGGCTTTCAAATCTGTCCATTAGAGCTGGCATCCAGTGGTTGACAAGTAGACAGCCCTGCCCATCTGTCAAGTGGTCAGCCGTAGTGGGTGAGCTCAAGATCCTGGTTCTTTCCCAATAGTTACGTTTCCACACAAATACTAGCTCTTGGGCTGTTATTCTCCATATATTTACCTACAATATTTGCCTTTTCTGTCTTTTTTCCATATAAAAAAGAGGAAAGTGCCAGCATTTAAAACCATGTTCAGTAACCTGATTCACTATCCACCATACTCTATGCAATTAGAAGAAGTAAACCCTGTTCCCCCATTCATTGACCGAAGATGGAGAGGAAGGGCAGAACGGCGCATTGAGGCTCTTCAGAAGCTGGCTAGGTAAGGGCCCTCTGGAGCTGTAAATGTTTTTTAAAACGACTGTTTAGCCTTAGGTATATTTCCCCACAAAGTAGGTCAGCCCTTGGCATTAATGTAGCTTAGCCCTAATTCCAGCTTAAATATGGCTGCAGAAACAAAGAACCATTTTTTACTTTAATTTAATTTATCGGTGCGGCTCATTCACTTCAGTGCTGATGATGGTCAGACTACCCATCTCTGCCATGATCACAAACTTCACGTACAGCAAAACTTTTCAGACGGTGGCTCTAGGAAAAGGCCAAATATAGGTGGCCTTTTGTGGTGTGTATATGTGATTTTTCATTAGAAAAGTTGCAGTGTTGTCATGCCAAGTCTCTCCCTCTGCAGTTAGTTGACTTCTCTCTCGAAATAAGCGTCAAATAGCGTCATTTCAAAGCTGAGGTCATAGAGCATGAGGACATAATATATTACACTATACTTTTCAGGCACAGTATATTTTACTGCAGTGTATGTAGTGCAGCACAGAGGCTTTTCTCACCAGTTTCACAGACCTGACAGCCCTTGTTAAGGATTCTGCTTCATTTTTTATCCTGCCTCATTTGGACAGAAAACCCAAGAAAGCTAGATGTGCAGTATTTAAAGCAATGGAAACATAGGAATCTGCCTAATACTGAGACAGACCAATCATTGGTTTGTCTAGCCCCAAACCGATGACATTGACTTGTAGCGTAACAACTTCAGACCAAAGGGAATATGTCCGTGGTTGAGGTTTCTGACTGATTTCAAGGGCAGCCCCACAGAGAATGCATTATAGTAATCAAACCCGGAGGTAACAAGAGTGGGAATGACTCTGGTGAGGTCTGGCCTATTTCGGAAAGGGTATAGCTGGCAAACCACCTGAAACCGATAAAAGGTACTGCTTGTTCCTGCTTCTATAATTGGTGCCAATTCAAGGGCCCACCCCTAACCTTTTAGGGCAGGTGTGGGGAAACTATGAAACCGGCAGGTGCTGTTCCACCGGCAGATGGGGCTCCAAGTCCCATCAGCTCCAGCCAATGGTCAGGGATGATAGGAGTTGTAGTCCAACACTGGGTAAACCACAGGTTCTCCATCCCTGTTAACAGGGAGTCAAACCCCATAACATGCTGCACACCTAATTTCAAGACTGAAGGACACTAAATACCAGCACTTCAGTCTTGCCCGGATTGATTTCCATTTCAGCCCCAAGGGACAAAGTTTAGTGTTTCTGCTGCCTCTCTGAATATGATGTAAGTGTGAGAGGGCACTAGGTGTCACTAGCAGAATGCTGGTTCCGTAGCTTCAATCTCTGTGCATCTTTACCCAAGAATTTCAGCTAGAATAGATGGTGAAAAGCATGAGGGAAAAGATAGAATTCTGTGGGTCCCGATAGGGGCTGTGCATTAATCTCCCAGCACTGCTTTCCCTCTGGAAAGAAGTTTTATTTTTTTTAAAAAAGGTAAAGGACCCCTGAGTCCAGTCCAGTCGCGAACGACTCTGGGGTTGCTGCTCATCTCGCTTTACTGGCCGAGGGAGCCAATGTTTGTCAGCAGACAGTTTTTCCCGGTCATGTGGCCAGCATGACTAAGCCGCTTCTGGCAAAACCAGAGCAGCGCATGGAAATGCTGTTTACCTTCCTACCAGAGTGGTACCTATTTATTTACTTGCACTTTGACATGCTTTCGAACTGCTAGGTTGGCAGGAGCTGGGACCGAGCAACGGGAGCTCACCCCGTCGCGGGGATTCGAACCGCCAACCTTCTGATCGGCAAGCCCTAGGCTCAGTGGTTTAGACTACAGCGCCACCTGCGTCCCTCTAGAAAGAAGTAGTGCCTTTTAAAAAGTGTTTCGCACACCCAGAGAAGTCCAGGACGATCAAGAGGGTGGGTCATACATCTTGTGACACATCTCTGACCATCTCTGGGTGACCAGGGCAGGTTCCATCCCAACTTTGGGCCAAAAGTCCCATTGAAAATGATCTACATAATAACCAAGGGAGTCTGGAACAACTCTCCCTCCAGGAGATTCTTAGACAGGGGCCCAATTTGTACATTGTATTCTAGCAGGAGATATCAGTTTCTTACCACACTTTCTTTTTAAAAATTAGATCTCAACCCTCACTTCAGATTCCAAGAATTGAATATGAAGATCCTGATGTTGGTGGAAGGAATCGCTGGAAGTATTTTGAACGGTGGGAACTGAACAGAGCCAATCATACTCGATTGCAATACGTGTTTATATCATGACCAAATAAATGAGTATTCCACCAAAATATGTAGAAAGGACATTTCTGTCTTTCAGTTTCCCAAGGCGCTCCTAGACATGGGAGCATCTTGATCATATCGTTTGATTTCATGTGTGTGTGAAGGCTGTCAATCACAAGAAGCACCTCTTGTAATCTATATCATGTTAGACACCCACATGCCTCCATCCAGGCAAGGAAGAGGCGTCACCAGAGTTTGAGGACATGTTGCAGCCAGGAGGACACAGAGCAGGACTTGTTAAGGGTGTAGACTGAGCGGGGGCATGGCTGGGAGAGTCTCATGGGCGAGATAGAAAGGCCTGGAGGACCACAAATTGGCCCTCAAAGGCATCTTAAGCAATATGAGAATAGTGACTGAAAAGTGTCCATTACAACTGCAAGGTAGCTAAATAATAAGCTTGTTAACGGACCAAGCAGCCTGGAGATCTGTGCTAACTGAGGAAATGTTCTGCTTGTTTGCTTCACTGAGTTCGCCTAAACTCGCTTTTCTCTCTTTTCAGACCTTTCATCCCATTTCATAAGCCCGATGCCACTAAATGTTGTCTATGCAATGTCAAAGTAAGTAATGATATGCTCACATTGTGATCCCGTTGTTTTTCAAGAAGCTGATGTTTCTAGTATTGAAAAGTCAAAAAAAGAAAGAAAGGAAGAAACCCGTAGGAGAGGGTTGGCTGTTCTTAGCTATCTGATCATTGGTTGGTTGGCTGACTAAATGATTGACAAAGATAAGGAGGGAAACACAGACTTCCCAGTCCCTGTGGAATGCATGCAGATGCCACCCCCAGTTCACAGCTCCAGTTATACCTTGACAAATTAGGAAGCAAATTTCTGTGGGGTGGGGACTTCAGGTAATTTTTTGTGGGGGTGGGTGGGAGTTGTGCCTACTTCATTAACTGCCGAAGGGGTGTTTTTGCTATTATAGTTTCAGGTAGCACTTCCTGGAAAAGCCGCAGTGGCACATCCAGAGAGTTTCGTACTACATTATGACTGTAAAAGTTGTATAGCAAACAAAAAGAACCTTAGGTCTCAACACATTGTCAGTGCGGTGCAATGCTGAGAGTGTGGGACTGTGACCATAGAGACCTGGGTTCAAATCTCTGCTTAGCTGTCAAGCAACTTGGGTACTCTCATGCCAGTTTTCCCTAACCTGATACTCACCAGATGTTTGGGACTACAATTGCCCATCTTCTCCAGCCATTGGCCCTACTGGCTGGGGCTGAAGGAGAGTTGTACCCCCCCAAAAGCATCTGGAGGGTAAGAGGTTGTGGGAAACTGTCTCACTCAGAGAAACTACCTCACAAGATGGTTTTGAGGCCATTGTACAGTTGTACCTCGGTTTTCAAAAGTAATCCGTTCCAGAAGACGGTTCGAGTTCCGAAACGTACAAAAACCAAAACTTCAGTACAGAAAACTCAATACGGAAGCTGTGTGGTATGTTTGACTTCTGAGGCATTTTCGAAAACCAAAGAATTTACTTCCAGGTTTACGACGTTCAAAAAACGAAATGTTTGTCAGCGGAGATGTTCAAAAACTGAGATACCGCTGTACATTGGTAATATAAACATGTGATAAACAAGGCAATCCAAAAATAGTTTGTTTCATAAAATTTATATACCGCTTGGTTGTAAAAACAGCAAAAAATTCAATAACTATGGTCTAATTAAAAAAATAATAATAATTAAAGTTTTTTTAAAAACAACAACAACAATGACTTTAATTTCATTTTAAGTGGGTGAAAACATTTTGAAATGTATTGTTTTGGTCTCATTTGCTTTTTAGGCCAGAGACATACATTGACAAGGTGAAATCCAGGGACAAGCCATCTTATCTCATCTCACGAAGTGTGGGTACACAGACGGATTACCGGATGGTGAAGCTCAGACAGATCCCTACAGCCCTGAATATGTGGTGCCTCCAGGTTCCATCCCTGAGCTCCTGACCCTTGTCACACTGACCTGGGGTGAGTTGAGCAAAGGACTGATAATTATACAGTGGTACCTCGGGTTACATACACTTCAGGTTACATATGCTTCAGGTTACACACTCCGCTAACCCAGAAATAGTGCTTCAGGTTAAGAACTTTGCTTCAGGATGAGAACAGAAATCGGGCTCCGGCGGCGTGGCGGCAGCAGGAGGCCCCATTAGCTAAAGTGGTGCTTCAGGTTAAGAACAGCTTCAGGTTAAGAACGGACCTCCGGAACGAATTAAGTACTTAACCTGAGGTACCACTGTATGAGGGCTCTTTCCAACTTGCATGAAGCAAAGACACAATTTCCTGAATGTTAGAAGATGGGTTTGCTCCCACATTCCACAGGCGAAATGGACCCAGTTCCCTGATCTATTACCAGAGCATTTGAGTTGGTGATAAATTCCTCAGTTAGGCTCAGCAGGTTTTTAGCAGATCTAGTAATGGAGAAAAAGCTAAATCTTTTGCACTGTACATTGATTTTAACTTGTTAATAATGTCAGGTTTCTTATTCCTGCCTGTGCTAGTGGCTAAAGGAAGATTAGTACTTTGTCCCACCGATTGGCTGGCGTGGTGAATGATGACTCCCAGGATACCCAAGTCCCGCGGGGATGTAGGTGGGGCATGAGCCCGCAACCCCCCCCCCTTATGTTGGGAGTGGCTTTATGGAACAACAACGTTCTTTATATCAGAGTTAGCATTAAACAATTTACAACCCAGAGTTAATGCCTAATTAGAAAGCCTGACTGAATAAAATGTTTTCATCTGGCACCAGATTCAAAGTTTGATAGACTTTGTGTTTTAACAAAGTCTATCAAAGCAGCAGCAGTACAGAAGGGCAGCAGAAAGTGCAAATTGCATTTGTCTTAATTAACATTACAGCAGCAGAAAATATGCTCACATCTTCTGTTATCCCAGCTACGTACAAGCGATGACCAAGCAGCCTCTCTAGTTTATTGGCCAAGTTCTGCAAGAGAAACCTGAGTCTTATCATGATCCCTGTAATGAGAGCATCTGCAGCTTAGTCACTTTGAAAAAACACCGGCTTTGGGCCACCTCAGAAGTGTATGTGTTTTTCATACTTCCGTTTAGGCAGCTTTTTGCACTGTGGTTTATAAATGATATCACATTCATAAAAAATAAGCTATACACTCTTCTTGTTTCCTGCCCTTTGAAGGACGGGGCCTTCCAGCAACCCAGGCAGAAGTGGAAGTGATTGAACGAGCCCGAGAGAAACGTGCCTGGGAGGCCACGCTCCCCCCGCTCAGCGATGCCACACAGATTGCAAAGCGGCGGAGGATGATGGAGGAAATGGAGAGGAAAGAGTGGGCCTTCCGGGAAGTAGAAATAGAGGAGTAAGTCTTTCATTTTTACCTTCCTGTTTCGTAGCCCATGGAACCAAGGAATCTCTGCTCAAAACAAACCAAAACAGGTTCTGAACAGAAACAGTAACTTCAGGAGACCATCGCTTTAACCACAATTCAAAGTGTTGGTGCTGACCTTTCAAGCCCTAAATGGCCTCCGTCCAGTATACCTGAAGGAGCGTCTCCACCCCCATTGTTCTGCCCGGACACTGAGGTCCAGCACCGAGGGCCTTCTGGCGGTTCCCTCATTGCGAGAAGGGAGGTTACAGGGAACCAGACAGAGGGCCTTCTCGGTGGAGGCACCCACCCTGTGGAATGCCCTCCCATCAGATGTCGAGGAAATAAACAACTATCTGACTTTTAGAAGACATGTGAGGGAAACCCAGTTTAGGGAAGTTTTTAATGTTTGATGTTTTATTGTGTTTTTAATATTCTGTTGGGAGCTGCCCAGAGTGGCTTATTAGTATCATCATCATCATCATCATCATCATCATCGTATCTGTGATATAAGTTAATGGTCCTCCATGTGCAGGTGTCCCTAGAGCTTAGTTTCCAAACTGGGCCATAGTTAGTGGTATATAGTTGATTTAGATTCTTTGTCACCATGAACCCTAGATACCTGATTTTGGTATGGCGTACCAGGATTTGAAAACCCTCATTATCCTAGACTGTTCCCCCAGTGGGATGTTAAAAACATCCTATCTGATTTGCCAAAATTAAATTTCAGGCCTGCCATCTCTTGAAAAGACCTCATAGGCTCTTGACAACCAGGCGCTTCTTTTTAATTAGCGGGAAATGTTTGTGGGTGTGGCCACCATACACAGCTGGCAGGCTGCATTTATTTTATTGGGTCATTGGTTCTGCAAGCCATTATAAAAGGTGCATGATAAAAATGTGCACTGGATATTTGGAACAAAAAAAAGAGAAACATTTGTTACAGGTAAATCATCTAAATCAGGCTTCCTCAACCTCTGCCCTCCAGATGTTTTTGGCCTACAACTCCCATGATCCCTGGCTAGCAGGACCAGTGGTCAGGGATGATGGAAATTGTAGTCTCAAAACATCTGGAGGGCCGAGGATGAGGAAGTCTGATCTAAACAAGGATGGCAGTAGTGTTTGAGATCTGTTGAAGCCTCTTCTTTTCCTATTCTTATTTTGAAGATTGCAAGAAGTTAGACTGGAACTCTTAAAGGCTCTGCTGAGGAAAAGGGAAGAGAACCGCAATGAGCTGATGGTCACCCGCTTGGATGCTCACTGGTTTAACCTCATGCAAGAAAAAGAAGAAAAAATTAAAAACATTCAGCATGAACATATAAAAGGTAATGGAAATGGTAATGGAGTAGAAAGCCCATACCACTGTCTGCTTTCCCAAGCTACGGAAAGCTGATACAGATATTCATTTAGACGTGCCTCTTGTCTGAAATTCCTTCTTAGCGATCCGAAGACTGATAGCCAAGGGGAAAAATGTGGAAAGAAAACTGGATAAAAGAAATGTCATCAGGGACTACACGGAATTTGATTCACAGCCTTATGCTCCTCTATCAAGAATTGGCTACTTTCCAGACAACAGAGCCGACCGTTTCATAGTGAAGAACCCCTTTCTCAACACCTATCAAGGTCAGTCGTGCTAAGGAAATCTTCCAGTCCATTTCCCCTTTTCCTGGACACATGTAAGCTACAAAGGACATGCAGACTTCATCTCCTTTCTGTTCAGGGGAAGGTCAGTTTCATGTGCTCTGTTGTAATCTCTGTGCCTGATAAGGCCACATTGGCTCAAAGTGAGTCATTCTCTTTCATCACAGTTCCAATTTCTCTGCTCTTCCTCCACTTCCGCTTCCTCCCCACCCCAATGCTTGCATTCTCTCTTTCCTAGGATTACTTGAGCTGGAGGCATCTCTTCCTGACTCCGTCACTCAGCCCCGAACTGAAGCTCCCAAAAGGAGCACCACCACTAAGGATGGGTTTATTAAACGGTCGGCTAGACTAGAATTGGAACTGGCACAGGTTTACCAGGTACAGTGAGGCCATTGCAACTCTTCCTACCTGAAATCTGTCTCTTACTTTGCTTCCTGAATACCAGCTTTAGGCCATTCTAGGCAAGAAAACTGTGTGCTGAGGCATAGGCGCCATCTTGGGTGTCAAGGCTGTGGGAATGTTGTGGAAAGTAGGAGAGGATATATTGATTAAATATTATCTCTCCTCACTCAAGCTAGTGAGCAAGGAGCAGAGCACATTCCCTTGTACATTTCAGGAAGCTAGTTGATGGATTCGTGAGAATCATTTAAGTTAAGCAATCCAGTCTGGCTTGTCCAGACTGGATTCTTCCTGGTAAATTGCCCCTTTACAGTGGTGCCCCACAAGACGAATGCCTCGCAAGACGAAAAACTCGCTAGACGAAAGGGTTTTCTGTTTTTTGAGTCGTTCTGCAAGACGAATTTCCCTATGGGCTTGCTTCGCAAGACGAAACGTCTTACGAGTTCTTGTGAGTTTGTTTCCTTTTTCTTAAAGCCGCTAAGCCGTTAATAGCCGCTAAGCCGTTAATAGCCGCTAAGCCGCTAATAGCCGTGCTTCGCAAGACGAAAAAACCGCAAGACGAAGAGACTCGTGGAATGGATTAATTTCGTCTTGCAAGGCACCACTGTATTTCCCTCTTAAAAAGAATAACAACACGGCAGTCTTCTTTAAAAGTAATGACAAAGTTTACTTACATTCAGTTCACAGTAGTATCCTGAAGGCAGGCTTTATCTTGTAGTTACAGTTACATTTGTAGAGAAAAGAAGTCTGAGCTAGGCCTTTAAGGATGAGCCATGTGTAAGGATAAGCCATGTGCGTCCGAAAGGAGAAAATGGAAAAAGGCGAAAAGAGGAAGATGGCTGTGTCGCTAGCCCTTTGGCAGGGTCTGCTAGGGTCGCGCCCATCTACCTGGTCACACACAGGGGGAGGAGGCTCCAGAGCGAGTATAACAAGAATGCCTTCCTGTCTGGAGCAACATTCCCATGTGTGTCTACTCTAGGCAACAGGAATTATATTTGACTGCTTCAGTGATGATACATCCCACAAATGGCACCCACAAAATTTTTACTGTGAGTGCCTGGCCGGGCGACCAAACGTGTTGTGTGCTGTGACAGGGCCTTCCATCTGCCCTCCCACTGCGGCAGCGACATGTGACATCATGCAGCTGTATGACATCACACGCACGCACACACACTGGGCCCCCGCAATGCTGGGTGGAACCTGGCGTGCCTGTGCTGAGGAGAAACCGTGTCATCTATTTTTAGAGGTTGCAGGCTGCTATTCAACTTCTGTTGATCCTTTTACCTTCATACCATCCGTCTTCATTCTCTTCTCCTTCCCAGCCTCCCCTCATTATCCCATTACTTTCTAGCAGATTGGGAAAATACGTGAAATGAATAGTGCCAATGTAAAACATGGACCAGGTGTTAATAAATGTTTTGTACTACTGCAACAGTCTTTTGGGTGAATTAAGAAAAGAAAAATGGTGAAGAGATGCTCTTCAAGTCACTTAGGCCTAGTTCCTCCGATGCTACTACCTTCTTTTCCAGATATTGCAAGACAGAAAGAAAAAGGTTAAGGAGCCGCATAAACCACTTCGTTTCCTTGAGAAGGTATCCAAGATCCCCGCTCGGCCTCCCACTCCAACACTGGAAGTGCCTTCACTGGTAGGTGGACTGTTTCTGACACTCCGAGGGGCCTGGGCTGCAGTTTTGGTGTGGGTGGAGGAAGATCAGAAAGGCAACAGGTAGAAATAATGACAGGCAGACAAGGGTCAGGGACAAGGGCGGAATCAGACCAGGCAGAAGACCAAGTTCCAAGGCACACTAGAGGGTTGGACAAGGTGATGGTGGTCTGGGAAGTAAGGAGAGAAAGGGACTTGCACCCGAGTGCAGGCCGCGGCAAGTGCTTGCTCACCACCCTCCCTGAGCTGGGCAGCAGCACTGGAGTGGGGAAATGGGACATTCTGGGATCAAATCAGAAGCTGGGGTGGCTTCTGTACGTCCGGGATGTCCCAGGAAAGTTGAGACACTTGAAGGATATGCTGGAGTCTTCCTGATCCTCTAAGGATCCTAAGCATCCTTAGAGTAGATTTGTGCTTTAATAATCTGAATGCCCCAATCTTTCCATTGCTGTGCTTCCCTTCTGCCCCCCCCCCCATATCTGTAAACCAACTAGGCTGGTATACGGGGATTAAAGTCAATAAATGTGGGCCACATTCGCAGAAATCTAGGTAATATTCTACAGCTCATTCAGCGATGTCCTTTCCTGAGTGTCTTCCTGCAACAAAGCAGTTGGCAATGGCAAACTCGTCTTGTCTTTTGCAGATTGAAGAAGAGAGAGAGCTAGCTGTGATTACACTGCAGAGCTTAATCCGAGGCAGAGCTATCCAGAATATGGTATTCTCTTGGTTTTTCTTTTCTTTTCTTGAGCATCTAGTGGCAGATTAAAAACAAAATAATGAGAGAAAGGTGCTGATAGGCCAGCACAAGAATCTTGGGGGAAAGGAGAAATTGGGGCGTGTGGGATGGGTGGCTGCACTTGGAACAGAGTTGGGGTGGATCTTTAATAAATATGTAAGTAGGGACGTGGGTGGCGCTGTGGGTTAAACCACAGAGCCTAGGGCTTGCCGATCAGAAGGTCGGCGGTTCAAATCCCCGCGACGGGGTGAGCTCCCGTTGCTCGGTCCCTGTTCCTGCCAACCTAGCAGTTCGAAAGCACGTCAAAGTGCAAGTAGATAAATAGGTACCGCTCCGGCGGGAAGGTAAACGGCATTTCCGTGCGCTGCTCTGGTTCGCCAGAAGCGGCTTAGTCATGCTGGCCACATGACCCGGAAAAACTGTCTGCAGACAAACGTCGGATCCCTCGGCCAGTAAAGCGAGATGAGGGCCACAACCCCAGAGTCGGTCACGACTGGACCTAATGGTCAGGGATCCCTTTACCTTTACCTTTAAGTAAGCCTGCAGTCCAGGGAGGAGGAGAAATAAGAAGGCAGCTCAACCATCCTCCTTTATTTTGTTTTGGAATGATGATATTTCTTCCCCCAAGCAAGCTGTCCCTTCTTTGGGCTAGATTCAAGTGGGTTTTTAAGTTCTTCAGCTGCCTTGCTGGGCTTTAGAGAAAATGAGTCCCTTGACCTCACATATCTATTTAGGACACACTTGAGTCCGTTACTAGGGAGAAATTCATTATAACTAGAAGAGGAGCCTGGTTGGATCAGGCTGATGACCCACCTAGTCCAGCATCCTGTTCTTACAGTGGTCAGCCAATGCCTCTGAGAAGCCTGTAAGCGGGAGATGAGGGCAAGGGCACTCTTCCTGCTTCCCTTCTGGGGATATTTCACATAGCTGTATTGATAAAGACCACCAATGTGCTTTGGCCTAGTGTCAGACCTGGACACCCCTTGTCTGAACACCAGGATCTCCTTTCCTGGTTTATTTCTCACAGTCAAGATCAGGATCCCCACCCTACTTCTCTGGAGTGGATAATCAAAGTGCGGAAATGAATGGTTCTGCAAAAATTGACTTGTCAAATACATGAAAAGCAAGTGTGATTCCTTTCCCGATATATTGTTTCCTTTCTTTAAAGACATTGTGACTCTGAAGGGGAAAGAGAACACTCCCCATAAATTCAGATTTGTTTCCCTGTGTTGTCAAGCCTAGCCTGGTTCTTTAACATAGGTTGTTTCTCTACCTGGAGAAACGATTCTCTTATGAGGGAGTCTTATGAGCGGCTATATTTATGTTTTATTTGTATTTTACTTGTTCTGTTTGTTTATAAAACCATGTAAAAACTAGGGTAATTTATATTTTAAAAAATGAGATGACAGCAATAAAGTTTGGTGGGAGAGAACATTCAGCAAAGCTGCATCTTCCTTCCTTCCTTCCCTCTGACTTCCTGACAGATGTTTGAAGGGAAGGAAAAGCGACTGGAACTGATCCGCGAGTTGCGCACCACTCATGCGCTTCAGGAGGACGGGCAACTGTTGAAGAAGGCGGAGAAGCAAGTGACCTTGGCCCTGCAGAGGCAGCGGGATCTGCATGAACACAAGGTTTGGCCATAAACATAGAGGCAATGGACCAGTATCTTGTTTAAAGTCTTTCCCTTCTGTCTCCTACAACAATGTCTGCAACAGAAGCTTATGATGCAAGATGGCATTTGGTCATCTGAGGGAGGAATATAATCTCGTAGTGAGTGCTTTGTTCAAGATAGGGCTTACTAGGAGTTTTGTATGCTAGGGTTACACAGAGGGACAGGATGGCTGGGTTAGCCAGTTGTTGGAGTCATCACTTTAGGCAACTCACGCCGACTGAGGAGGTAGCTGTTAGGTGGCTTTGCAGCTAGTTGCCTGACCAAACCCAAAGAGTGCTCATTAAAGGTTCCTCATCATCCTGGAAAAAAGTGACAAGTGGTTCGCTGCAGGGCTCTCTCCTGGGTCCACAGTTGTTCAACATCTTTCTAAACAACTTGGATGAAGGAATTGAGGGGTTGCTCATCAAATTTGCAGTTGACGCCAAACGGGGAGGGGTAGCTGATGCTGTAGAAGGCAGAACCAGGTTGCAAAATGACCTTAGCAGATTGGAGAACTGGGCTCAAGCTAACAAAATGAATGTCACTAGGGACAAATGTCTAGATTCTGCACTTGGGCAGAAATAACTAGCTGCACAAATATAAGATGGGGGACACCTGGCTTGCCAGGAGTACATGTGAAATGGATCCCTTCTTCCTTTGGGGGTTCTCCAGCTGTTTGCTCCCACCATTCCTGTGTCCAACCAGTCCATGACACCGACCCTGCAGGTGTAGTTGGACTCCCAACTCCCATCAGCTCCAAACCACCAACTAGTGTGGGAATTGCAGCCCTGCAACACCTGGAGGGCACCACGTTGCCTATCTCAGTGCAGCAGCAGCAGCAGCACACTGTTGCAGATTACTTTCACGTCTCCGGAAATAGCATGCATAATCTTTTCAAGGCTGGGTTCTGATGCTCAGGCCTGGAGCTCATTTCCTGTGGAAAAAGTAACTCGTTTTATAGAACGGAGAATAATTCTTCCGCGTTGCATTTAGATGTCTCTCATGGAAAAGCACTTGGCTCGGGTGGAAGGAAGAGCCCTCTCCAACATGCTAGACTTCCTCTCCAAAGAGCTGATTCGGCTCCAGGACGAACGGAGGATCCACGCTTTTGCTATGCTTGCTGAAAGGCAACGCCGAATTCGGGAAGCGGAGGAGAGCGGCCGCCGGCAAGTGGAGGAGCGGCGCAGGCGTGAGGAAGATGAGATCTTTAGACAGGTATGGGGAGGGACTGCAGTCCCAGTCATGGGGCTTTGAGTTTGTCCTGATACCTGCACAGTAAGTAAACTGAGTCAAGTGTGCTATCCCTGTGGGAATTATTTGTAGAGGACTGTTTCTGCAGGGTAAGAGGGAGCTAGACTGCTGTGGGGATGTGCAGGGCTCTCACAGTCAAGGGAGCATAGATAGCATACTTTTTATCATTGTGTTTCATCCCAGTATTCGACATGTACCCATGAACCCACCCAGACCCTGAGATCAGCTTCTGAGGCCCTTCTTCTTGTGCCTCCTCCTCAAGAGGCCCAGAGGGTGGCAACACGAGAACGGGGCCTTCTCTGCAGTGGCTCCCTGTCTGTGGCATGCTCTCCCCAGGGAAGTTCACCTGGCGCCGTCATTATACTCCTTTAAGCACCAGGCAAAAACGTTCCTTTTTAACCAGGCCTTTGGTTGACCTGATTGACATCCTTTTAAAATGTGGCTCTTTTCGGAGGGGGAGGGTGTTATTGGTTTTTATTTTATATACAGCGGTACCTCTGGTTGCGAACGGGATCTGTTCCGGAGGCCCGTTCGCAACCCTGAAAAGAACGCAACCCGCGTTTGCGCATGCATGGGTCGCAATTTGCGGCTTCTGCGCATGCGTGAGCGGTGAAACCCGGAAGTAACCCGTTCCGGTACTTCCGGGTCACCACGGGACACAACCTGAAGCAAACATAACATAAGGTATGGCTGTATTGTGATCTTTTCTGTGAACCGCGCTAAGACCTCCAGGTATAGGGCGGTATATAAATTCAATAAATGATCATAATAATAATGTCTAGATTCTGTCACACACATTCCATACTTTGGAGTAAACTCTGACCATTCTGCGTACCTGACAGCTGATCCTTTGGCTGAACATATATGTGCTAAACTAAATCCGCAGATAGAAAACTTAGTCACACAAACGCAAAAGCGAGCTTTGTGTTATTTATTCTTATATCTCACCCTTCCTCCCAGCTTGGGTTGGCTGGCAATGATCATTAGGCCAAGTGAGGCAAAGTCTTCAGGCGGCAGATGCTCTGGGAGGGAAGCAGCAGTGGAAGCTCCCAGCTGACTCCTCCTGAGCCTCTCCCCGCCCTCAACATCTTCCTCTCTTGGAGGACAGAACTGGGTAAGCCATACAGCCTCTCCGAAGGCCCCTAACCTAGTCTGCCACCTCACGTGCAGAGGAGGAGCCTATCCCATTGCGTATATTGAAGTGAGCTTGGAAACGAAGAACCACCGCCATCTTGGCCTCAGGTAGCAAATGTATTGGACTGGCTATAGGAAAACAATAGCTGGAATCGCACCAGTCCCTTCCACAATAGAGCCCTTTAGGGCTGGAGAGGCGTTGCTTTTCCACAATAAATTGGAATTGCGATTAAAACTGTGATTCTACACAGCATTTAATCTAGTTCTATTTTAACTAGAAATGCCTCCCCCCCTCCCCCGCCGGTCAAGAGCTTCTGAAATGTCTAAGTAAGTTCCATTCAGCAGAGGTTATTGGCAACTTAAAAGTATATTGCTTGCCAGTCAGCTGTTCCTGTTGCTTCCAGTTGATCCTGGGGATGGCAGATTTTTGAGAAATTTAGCATTGAACAGCCCGTTAATTGACACATGTCAATTTCTTTGGGGTGCGGCACCAACTAAAAAGGGGAAGAGATTGGTAGCTAAAGAATCTCTCCCCTACCCCTCCAAGAAATAAGCTGAAATGAGGCAGTTCAGAAAAAGGCTATTTAATGGGAAATTGCACACTAATCCATCAGCCAGAATCAATAAAACAGGTGCAGGCAGCAAAGCGAATGTGTTTCATTTAAAGGTACAAGATGTGAAAAGCCTTCATAGCCCCCCCCCACCCTTCGGACAGGCACCTGATACAATTGCATTGTAGGATTTAAAAGTCACTACAAATCTTTTTTTAGGGGGGTTGCAAGTTAGGGGGCATGAAATGCAGAAAATACTGGAAGTCTACAGTTTGGAAACATCATTTGAACGCACTGTAAAATGGTATACGTAGGTCCTAGTGTGGAAGCACCCAAAATGATTTGTGCTCCCTCATCATATGAGATGGTGCTAAGAAGGAAATTCTGCTTGGGGCTGTTTCCAGGTTGTTAAGGTGCACCAGAGTACAGTTGACTCCTACCTGGAAGATGTCATCCTGGACAGCATGGAGACTACGGCTGACGAACAAGCTAGAGAAGAGATTCAAAGAGTGGCTGTGGAAATCAACGACATCGCTTATGAAATGGAAACACGGTATAGATTCTCAAGGGAACAGCAGCATATATCGCAGTATAAAGTATTGTGGCACCTTAAAGTCTTAACCATTTTTGTGCAGGTTCGTATCCTGCCGACTACATGCAAAGTGTAATATTTTGGTTCCCTGCGGATTGCTCAGTGGGTAGATTTTATAGTGGCATAAAGGTTTGTGGACTAGAGCCCCTTTGGCCAATAAAGTGCACTTCATAAAAGTGTATGTCACAGTAAATCTGTTGTTCTTTGAGGTGCCACAAGACACTCTCCTGATGTTGTTGCAACAGACTCATTCAGCTATCGGTGTGAGATGCTGTGACCCTTAAAGCCGAGCAGATGCTTAAAAAAAAGATTTGAAAGGGCCATCTAACCTAGGAAGAAGCTAGATTCAAAAAGTATTTCACTGTGAGTGTGATGTGAACAGCAGTTCTCTGTGCCCACCTGTGGTTTTTGTACCATATTGCAAACTTTTTAAGTTTGTATATATTCCTTTGTACAGAGCTGTTCAAACTCGGGCATGTAGCTCATATATATATTATTATATATTTTTCACACCAGCGAGATGCCTCTCCTTCCTCCATTTGCCCTGGATCCAGCATTGCTCCTGTTTCCTGAAAGATAGAGAGCAAATGCAGGTCCTCCCGCTCCCCTGGAGTAGCGCCCATCCTGATCATGGTGTGGAAGTGAGGCATTACCCCGCTCCTGTCGGATGTGGTCTTATGCCCCCTTCCCATCATGTAGGAAGTGTCCTCACTGACAGAATGTGCACAAATATTACTGTTTCGCATTTTAAAAAAACAACAACCACCCTCCTGATGTGAAACAAAAAAGAGCGGAGGAATTTGGATGAGAGAGGAAATGAAGATAATGACAAAAATATAACCTTTTGTACAAATGATCTCCTCTTTAGCCGAACACACCTTCAGTCTGAAGAAATTGTGGCCGAGCTGGTTTATAGTTTCCTGATCCCTGAAGTGAGGAAAATGGCCATCAAGGAGAAAGGTAGGAAGTGTGAACAGCTTGTTTATCTCCTGAGATTACTTATATCTTAAAAGGGGATGCAGGTGACGCTGTGGTCTAAACCACCGAGTCGCTTGGGCTTATCGATCAGAAGGTTGGCGGTTCAAATCCCCGCAACAGAGTGAGTTCCCGTTGCTCTGTCCCAGCTTCTGCCAACCTAGCAGTTTGAAAGCATGCCAGTGCAAGTAGATAAATAGGTTCCACTGTGGCGGGAAGGTAAACGGTGTTTCCATGCACTCTGGTTTCCGTCACGGTGTCCCATTGTGCCAGAAGCGGTTTAGTCATGCTGCCGAAATGACCCGGAAAGCTGTCTGTGGACCAACGCCGGCTCCCTTGGCCTGAAAGCAAGATGAGCACCACAACCCCAGAGTCGCCTTTGACTGGACTTAACCGTCCAGGGGGCCTTTACCTTTGTGTCTTACCATAAATTTTGGATATGTTTTTTTCCCCCTTTTAAAAGAAGAGGCTTCTGCTGCAGTGTGAGCCTTTCCATGCCTGCCCACTTCCTCCACTACCATCCGAGAAGGCAGTGGGGGATTCCTGTATAGGAGTGTCCTCTGCCTTTGCCATTTTTAATTATTTTGCTCTAATTCCTTTGAGATCTCCTTTGCATAGCTCTCTGCCACCTTTAGAAGGCCCTCCCCTCTGTTTCTTCAAATGTAACCCAGGGTGCATTTTCCCATCCTTGTTCTGAAATGAGTGTGGGAGCCAGCTCTGGCAGAGTTTTATTTCTGTGTCACCGGAGTCTCTCAAAGGGTGGGCTTGGCAGGCCACCTGAGTCTCTGTTGGTGATGTTAGCAGCTCTTGCCTTCCAGGGTTTCCCTTTGTTCTGGAAGACCGTGGCTGACTTAGCTGAGCGGAGGCTGGCCCCTTGGTCGGGAAGTTTCTCTTGCACACCTGTCTCCTGCCGAGTTAAGAGAATGATGTGGGAGATTGGGGAGCCCGATTCACCTGTCTCACTGTTGGCCTGCCTTGGATCTACCACTTTCTCCTGCACAGTGAGACAGTCCCAGAGAAAGCACATTCACGCAGCTCATCAGATCATTCATGGGACTACGGAGACGACCGTGGGACAGCTCTTTGAGCTCCAAATGGCCACTGGTGTCGAACTTTCTCAGCTAGCAATCCCGAGTGCAGATCTGCCTCCTGCAGCAGCTGAAGAACAAGGCGCTCCTGAGCCGCATGAGCCACAGATTCCAGACAGTCAAAGAGAGCCTGAAATGCCACCTGAAGGCGATGGTACAGACCCCTCAGGCAGTGAAGAAACGGAAAAGAAATAGGTATGCTTAGAATTGTGTTCCTTCCCAGTCCTGCTCATGAGGCATCGTGGTCCCACCTAGGCACAAGGCGGCCCACCCTGGGGCTTTTTTGGGGGGAGGGAGGGAGGTTGGTTTCAGGGAAGCTTTGGCCTTTCTTTGTAGCCATCCCTTGAATTGTTTGCCCTTCTCTGTTCCATCAGTTAGCAAGCAGAGTGGATGTACCTGCAGCAAAGTTGGGGGGTGGGGTGGGGGCTTTTGTTGGGGGTTGCCGATACTTGCCTGGGAATTTTTTCTTGCCCGTTTTCAGAGTGATGCTTCCATATGTCTCTCTGCCTCCCCCCCCCCCCCAACAATTTGGTCAAAGAACTTTTTCGTTTCTTACCCAGGGGCAAGAAAGCTTGCCCTGGACTCCAGTGAAGTCTCAGAAATTCTGAAATAGTGTGGAAAACAGTTGTCCTTTGAATGGATACGTAGCCTATTTCTATGCATGTTGGCTCAGTCCTACTGTGGTCAGTGGCGCTTACTTGCAGGAAAGAATGCAAAGGATTAGTTGTCATTACATAGCTAATATGAAGCTTACCCTTGGGTTGGATTTTTAACAGATTTTGTGAGAACTATTTGATCAGGGTTACAGATATGTTTCCAAGTGAATTCAGCTGTTGTAAGTTGAGTATTTTTTATTAAGTTCGAGTTTGTATGTCTCTTGTGTGAACCGATAGTGTCTAATTGGGCCATAAATCTGATGTTTATAGTATTACAGTGGACCCTCTGGATACAAACTTAATTTGTTCCAGGGGTCTGTTCGCATCCCAAAAATTTCATAGAGGCGCACTTCTGCACATGGCGCAGCATGATTGAGCGCTTCTGCGCAAGCGGCGAAACCTGGAAGTATACACTTCTGGGTTTGCCATGGCCGGCTTAACCCGAAGATTCTGTATCCAGAGGGATACATAGGTAGAGGTACGACCGTATAGGGATTCTTTAGGAGAAATCAGATGAAGTTTCATTAATGAGGTGTTTTCATGTTTAAGACCCATTATGCAAACTCTTGCACATTGTTTCATAATGATGTGTATTTTTTACAATGAGTTTTACAATTCTCATTATTCATTGCTGATGGTTTGTATATCTTGCTTTTCCAGTTGCCCCTGAGGAACCACCAGAAGGCTTGAAGCACCTTGTACTAATATGCACCTCTGAGGTCTTCCCCCCATTTTTTGCATTGGTCCCTCCTTTCTTTCTAAAACATCTTTGTCTTTACCATATCAAACAAACTGAGAGCAACAGCAGAATAATTTTTTAAATATTTTCAGAGACTGCAGCGTTAAAATCTTGAAATCCAATTGGCAGCAAGAAAAATAAAAGTTTTGCAAGAAAAGCAGAACAATTAGAGATACTTCAAAAAACATACATTTGCCACCCCGAAGCTTAGGGTTAGGGCTGTGTTTTTTTGCAGCTGTGGGGAAAAGACAGCACACAGGAGAGTTTGGAAGTCTTGTATCTTCTCATCATAGAATAAATGACACCCAACTACCAAAACTCTGGGACTAGAGGGAAGGTCTTGCAGAGAAGCCCTACAACCTCTCTTTGTCTCCTCTTCAAGCTCCAGCAGCCTTGGAAAGACTTGGGCAAAGGAAACCAGAGAGAGAGAGACAAGCAAGTAAGGAATCTGCAGAAGGAGGGATGTTCTTGTGAAAGACAGAACAGGAATAGGGCACACAAGAAGAGACGGAGTAAATGAAGTCAGGGCTGGAACATATTGCTGCCCTGTCATCCTCCAGCTTTGGTCCAAGGAATGACTGGGTTGGCACTGGGACAGTGGCTCATAGGACAGGGGCCATTTCCTGAAGAGAGGGCATAGGAAGGTAAGACTAGTCCAAGGTCCTAGGCGTGGCCAGCTCAGGGTAGCAGGGCGCAAGGTGCAGCAAAAAGGAGCTTGTGGAAAGCTCACAATGGGCATCGCTTGCCATGACACACTCAGGGACAACTGCTGAAACTTCAAGGCTTTCTGAAGGTAGGCTGGCTGGCACTTGAACCTCCCCCCACTTGGGTTGTCCTGTTCTTTTCAAGGAGCATCACCTTGTTCTAGAACCACGGACTGCTGTGCATTGAGGGATGAAATGGTGGCGTGTCCTTTGGGTTGGAGGAGTCCACACCTTTTGGCCTCGATGGTCTACGAAGAAGGAGTAACACCTCTCTAATGCATCTCTTCTCCAAATCTGCCTGTGAGCCAGATGGAGGATATGGGCAGAGAACGCAACAGTTGTGGGAGAGCCAGGGCAAACAGAAGCGGGGTCGGGGTGGGAAGGTTAAGCAATAGGGAGAAAATCAGAAGCAACGTAGGGGTGGCTGCCACCTCCCCCCCCCAACAAGGACTCTGGTTATTGGCTGTCTAAGAACTGAAAATGGGAAGCGCCAGCCTCCCAGGATGACTTCAACCATCATCCCACAACTTCTGCTCTGCTCTGCCCCAACCTGGCTGTCGCTTGTACGATTAATAAAAATGAAGAGGAGTCTTTTTTGCAATATATTTTTTTTAATTTATTGAAGCAGTAGTCACATGACCTTGCATCTAGCCTTTTAGTATAGTAACAGAATAGATCTGACCAGTCATTCGGCTTGAAAAAGAAATTTTCTTTTGCGCAAACAGACATCACATTGAATACATACATTATCCAGGACTGAAACCCAGCTCAGAGATAGCAACGTGCCGATTTGTTGGAGGAACAGCCCCACAAGACATGGTTATTATAAACTCTTCACACCATCACCAGATTTACTCAGGGGCTCAAAGAAAGGAAGTGCATTATAGTATGTCTCAGCACATCTTGCAGATAAAGTAGGGTCATCGAGGATGATAACTGTCAAAGGGTTCCTCTTCCTTTCCATCAAATCCAATGGTTTGGTGGAAGACAGAAGCTGTTATCTCTTGTAAAAGTATCACAGATTAATACAGACCATTTAAGAAAACATGCTAGCTCCCTGTGTTTATTATATAAAGAGTCAACCCCCCTTGTTGGGCGGGGTGAGGAACAGTTCTGGAAAAAGGTGAATAGGAGCAGAAGAAGAGACTTTTAATGGAGGTGGGATACAGAAAAGTTCAAGAGTTTTGAAATAAAGACCACACACTTTGTATTTTTAAATTTCATGTCCAGGCTAACCTACTTTTTATTTAATGCAAATTACAGTACCAGTTAACTATTTCCGAACCAAGTCACACAGAACAAAATGTATTTACAGAGGAGCAGAAGGGAGGAGGCAAAATAATAAAACATTAAGCATACTCTCCACAAAAAAGTTTATATTTAAAATGAAAAAATTAATCAGTCACAGAGGCATTCAAGTAGTAATAATGTTATACATGTTTTGCTTCTTCTTTGAATCAAGACAGCTTTGTACGTGTATGCAATAGTTTGTATACAACCCACAGTCCATTATATATAGATTTTAGATTTTCTGCTTTTAAGATGGAAGTGATCACGGTAATTGTGTGCACAAGCCCAAGTGATCTATCAGCAACATAGTAACAAACGCAAATTTTACAGGCAAGCATATTATTTATATATATAAACGTTCATTTATATATATAAATTGTTTTTTCCCAAAAAAACCCAAGAACAAACAACACAAGGAAGGAAAATATGTATCTCAAGCTAACCCTTTAGGTACAAGTCTTTATTACGCCTTTTCATTTTGCTTTTATTGCCTTGTCACAAATGAAGCAAGAAATTAGCCTCTATAGAAATATTGGGAATTCAAAGGCTTTCTGATGTATACTCCTGGCAAATGTAGGTCCTGGGTTACATACTAAACTGTGCTTTTCATGACTGGCTTTGACCTCTAGTGGCTGGGAGTTATAATGGATAATAGTTTATTGGTAGCATTTCTTAAGAAGCATTACTAATCTGGGAACATTTCAAATTAACACTAATTACGGACATTCACCATCACTTGGCTTATTTATAAAAAGAAGTATATGCTCAAGTATCAGTTTAGATGACTTCAGAGTAATCTTGGTTGATTCCACACACCCCTTTGTTTAAAGGAAGGGACTTCAAAATTAAGAGAGTGTCTTGATTGACTTTCAGCTGGGGACACAGAATCTTGTTAATGCCATCTCAGGGACATGCACAGTTGCAATGCAGACAAAGGATAGATCGAGAGACCATTAAGGTACTTCATTTAAAAACAAGCCACAAAAACAGACTTCTGAGTGGAGTGTCAGAAACAAAATGCTATCACTGACCTTTGTGTCACCAGAAAAAGTGCAGCCTCTGCCTTACTGGAATGAACACAAGATGATTACAAAAAGACAAAAAGCCAAAAACAAAACAGCAACCTTTGGTTTGATAAAAAGTTCAGCATTTTGCCACCGAAGAAGAGAATCTCACGTGGAATACTAACAAGGTCAAACACACAAGTGAGCAGAGTTTTCAAAGCAAGGCCTTTGTGCTGGGCACAGAAATTAAGGTCAACTTCAAAATGACTTTTATAAGAAAATAAAACTTCGGGGTGAGAGGGAGGGCAAGTGATAATCTACAACTACAGACTCTCAATACCACAGATTAATCTCTGGCCAAAAAAAGCAGAAAGGATGTGTGAGTGAGTGAGACCCCAATTCTTCCACCCCACTGCTGCCCCCACCCCCATTCCATGACAGCTTCTTTGCAAAGCCCTATTTTGCCTCTACAGAAACAAAGACTAAACTAAAGCTCCTAGCTAGAAGCTGTTGTCTACAGGTAACTCTGGACAAACGTACTGGGAAAAGACGAGCAAAATGTAAACTTGCCACTTAGATGCCAAGATAGCAAACGTAAAATGAAACCGGTCACTGCTATTGTGGGCAAGGGAGAGAAACTTTTAAACGCCTACGAACAAAGCCATGGTTTGAAGTAAAAATAAAAAATAAAAATTGAATGAATTTTCTTTTTAATTATACTACTGACATGAAATAACTCAAAGAAGGGAAACAAAGATTTCCATGTGTGAGACATCTGGTACAAAAAAAGGAATAAAATAAAATAAAAAAAATTATGGAAGCAAAGGCACTCCAAACTATATAGATATACTATACATCGCTAGAGTTATTGTTACAATAATACAGGCCGGTTATCTACTGTACAGAGTTAAAACTATATGGCTTTAAAAAGCTCGTCTACATTTTGTCTGATTATTAAAACAGATTTAACTGCCCTGAATGGTAACGTTTTGCTCATTAACAGCAGTTCCTGGGTCCACATATTTACATACAAAGCAATACAACTCAAAATTTTAAGAACAACTAATGTACAAACTTGAATTTGGTGAGGAGCTTTTGTCTTGTTTATTTACAAAAATGGTATTGAAACACCTGGATCTAGATTTGTATAAAATTTTGTCTGCAGTCCCGCCATGATCCTCGAGAAAATAAAACCACCAGGATCTCAGTTTACACATACACACACACATACACACACAAAACAGTTTTTTAAAAAATAATTAACGCTTTTCATTCTTCTTCCCTGCTAGCGCCAAACTAACAGAAAGTAATGCAAATCCTAAGACACCATCTCTCTCCTGAGCCCAGACTGTCCTGCTCTCCTGACTGCAAACGGAGTTTTCTCCATGTCATCCTCCTGCTTGTTCAAGTGTCTCAAGAGCTCTGATCGCGAGGGCTAGAAATCGACATGGAAGACACCTAGAGGCTCCTTTCCTGCAGCAAGAACCCCTTCCAGGCCTCTCATTCGCCAGAGGCTCATTTATAGAAAACTGGAGTGTTTAAACAAATATGGGTTCCATACCCATTCCCCTTGAAGCTATTGTAATAACCAGGTATCTGAACTTTCTGTTCATCCTTTTTTGAGACAGCCCAGCAGCTCCCTCCTTGACAAGCACCTTTAATCAGATTAGACTCTCAGACCCAGCTTCACAAACATGAGAAGAAAGAGGAGGCCCTGTTGCCTTCCGGTGGCTGCATCTGCATAATGCTGTGTTTCCCCCGGGCCAAATCAGCAAATCATGTTTCAAAAGATCCAACAATGAAATAAACTCTCACAAGCACCAAGATGACTGAGATTCATTTGAATGAGTGTAAGGCTAGGTGAGCACATCTCTCAATCCAAGTAGAAAGCCAGACGTAAAGCGCCTGTCTCGGCTGCTCCGGCAGCAATAGCGTTCCTTCTCGCAACGTCCCTAACGCCTTTCAAGAAGTATTGCTTTCGCTTCAAAAACAGAGAGACTTGACTTTTTGCCACTACAAAATAACCCAGAACACAGACACTAGAAACAGGCATTTCTGCTTCAGTCAGACCAATTATAGATTAAAAAATAAAAAGCAGCACTGTATCTATGTATATATTTATAATATATATATATATGTATATGTATATGTGCATATATACACACACACTTAGCTTTCTCTAAGTCAGCAAGAGCAATTAAACTGATTTGTCTACTCATTAATATACTACCATTGTGAAAGCGTCACAACAGCAACCGTGGAAGATCAATAAATAAAGATTAGAAAGAAGGAAGCTTTAAAAAAAAAGGTGAAATTAAATACAAATTCTAGATTTGGATTTTAGAATCACCTAAAAACAATGTGTCGATTTGAAAGCTCTAATTGCAATGGAAGTTTATGTCCATTCACGTTATAAACCCTGGCATTGTTTCCCTGTTTGCTTCTTTGAGAAAGAAGCCAGTTTAGAGTTTAAAAAAGAAGGGGGGGCGAGGTGCAGAAGTACCTCTCCACTGGCTTCCTGTCTGTTTTCTGCACCTGGAGGGAGGGTCCACTTGCTCCCACCTGTTGAAGAATGCAAGTGGCTGACTATGGGCTCTTTTGTGCTTGACAGAACCTTTAATGTTCAGGGATCTTTAAGGTAGGTGAATGAGCATTTTTCATTCAAGCCGATAGTCTGTGTGTGTATATGTAACATACATATCTGCAGAATTCTCCAATGCTAGAACGGAATTTAAGATCAAGATTTGCCCTTAAGCTTTATTCATACAGCAATTGCCCCCCCTCCCCTCCCCCTCCCCCGGCTTTGGCAATTCAGTGTATTTTAGACCTCACATTTTCCTTCCTCCTCATCCCAACTCAAAGATAGTGAAGGTCTCCTGTGTATGTTATTCGCGGTGAGCAACTCCTGCTAAGCTCCCAACCAAATTCAAGTTGTGCACTACACCAAAAGTTGAAACTTCACTTAAAAATACAAGGCTTAAAAAAAGGAGCTTCAGCAGAATGAGGGTTCTCCTTTCTGTTGTGGGAGGGCATGAGATAAGATTCCTGATTCTAAAGGACACAACAGCAATAGTTTGAAATTAGAAGATTGTCGTGGGAAGAGACACTGGTGTGTTCTATTGCTCCACTTCCCCTCTTCCCACCCCACCTCTTCCCCTGCCCCAAAGGGCCCGCAGCAGAGTGAGCACACAATGAAACTGGTTTGAATTTCTATTTTACAAGGTTAAATAAGAACAACAATAATAAAAAAAAATCGAACACTATAATGAACAGGGTTTCCCCCCTCTTTTTAAATTTTCTTTCCAAATGTGACCAGCGTTGCTGAGCAAGACTCAAAATTACTGGCCGTTGTTCCTGTACAGGTTGCTGCTTGTGACCAGTTCAGGTGGAGTTGGAGGCTGATGCTGAAGCTACATTATTGGTCTGAACTCGATCTCCTGCATTGGCATCTGCAAAGACCGCAAAAGAAAGCAAAGACACGGGTTAAATATGGGAAACTTGCTGCTTGTGGGCAGGCCTCTTAAGGCAGCTGTGGCAAAGGGAGAGACACCTGAATGTCAGCGAGAAATGGGGCACTTTTTAAAAGGGCCTGTTTGGTACCTGGAAAACAAGAGAGTCCTCTTCTGGAAGGAGAGTTACAAGCGTGTAGAAGAGCAGACATAAGCCTCACCTCAACCCCCAATGTTTGCTGGCTCCTTTTCGATATGAAGTCCCTGAACAAGGCTTCTGCTTCCACATAATCAGGAGTCCTGGTAAGGTAGGGATCCTGATCCTGGGGAGACTTCTGATTTATTTGGCAGAACATGCACAACACGCGCACGCCCCGCCTTCAGCTCTGCAGGCAACGGTCTGAGAGGAGCTGGTGTGCTGGGGGATACTGGGAGGGTGGTTTGCACTTTTAATCCTTGTGAGTTCCAGCAAACACGCAAAGATGGCCAAGGCCTAGATCAGACTATTTGGCTCAACTACAGCTGGACATGCCCCAAAGGTCATGGCTCTGGGAAAGCAATAGCAGGGCCTGATGCCAAGAACAGGTTTCACGTGCCACACACTGAAGAGTTGGGAAAGCAGGGGGAAAACATCTCTGCCCCTTTTCTCGTGAACACAGCTAGCAAATTGTGAGGTACTGATAAATCAAGAGGAACCAAGCAATACCGGAAGGCAAAGGTGGCAGCATGTTACAGTGGTGCCTGGCTATGTCTGGGGCAGTTCCTCGCATAAAACCCATTTGACTAATAAACCTTGGCCAATCATGGTTTTTCACCAAATAGCTGGGGTTTAGGCCTCACATGCGCAACATCTTTTGAAAATAATTTACTGATGAACAGGTATTAAAACACTTGATTGATAAGCAGACACAAATAAACGGGATGCTAAGAGGTGACACTATTTGATTCTACAGAGTTAGAAAAGTATTGGGAGCCCACTCTGCTCCTTTCCCCCAACTCCTCTCCTGAATTCAGTAGACAATAAAAACAGGGTTCGGAAAAAAGAAATAAAAGATTAGTTATTTTTAAAGGCTGGCACAATTCCTATTAAAAGGTACAGGATACAGCTGTGTGATTTCCTGAGTCCATAATAAAACACAGCAAGAGGGAAAGGATAATTAAGAAGGGCTTCATGGTGCAAATCAAAGCAAAAAAGAAAAATGTTGGACTGCAATAAACTGAGACACTCGCATAGACCTGTAGTATCTGATGTTTGTGAGTTGCTTTATTTGGTAGCTATTGCTATCTGAAAAAAGTGGGAGAGGTAGCAATGCTTCGAAGTTTACTGTGATGGGGCTGTCAGGTACTTGGTGAGCCATCTTTACAGAAGACAATAGCTGTGTAAGTACCCAAATTCTCATTCTCTGGTTGGTGCTGCTAAAAAGAAAGAAAGAAGGTTGACCTGATCTCTCCCTCTTCCAGAGGAGTGGGGAATCCAATTTCTGCTGGATGGTGTAGTTCTCCTAAAGTCTACTACAATGGGAAAGCTTTATTTTACTTGAAACATACGCATTCTGTGCTGGTGGAGCTCTGCTTTCGTTCTGCTAAATTGCAGGTGCGGAGAAGGGCTGCTCCCCCACTATTTAGCAAAGAAAAACCAAGCACTTCTGTACTTCGCAAGTTCTGCTTGGCATTCACAAAACCTGCTGTCACTGCAGGAGTCTTTGGGAGAACTACATTACCAGCGGACATCACCTTCTTCTCCTCTTCTAGCAACAAGGACAGCTCTTGCTGCCACTGCACTATGAAACATGAATTCATATTTTGCTCAATAATGAATTAGTTTTGCTCACTGATTCCTGGATAAAGTATTTCTGAGACAATCTGATGTAAGTGAGATCCATCTCTACCAAAAGGCTATCCATTAGATCAAACTAGAAAAATAATGGGGGGGGGGACACTTTGGGTAATATAATTAAGTAGCTCTTTAACATTTTTAACAGTCATATAAATACCCAAGTAGGAAAAAAGGATGAGTCAATAAATGCAGAACATACTCATTAAACCAGACTCCACAGCCAGCTATAGATTACCAATACATTTTTCATTCTCTGATGAATCTATAATTGTCCCAACATACAATGGTATGCTCCTGAATGTTTGGGCAAAGGTTGGGTGTGCCATGAAGGGCTTGACTGTGCTATAGGGTTCCCCATAGGCAGTGACAGACCCCCGGGTATAGGGTGGTATAAAATTAATAATAATAATATGCAAATGAATGGTTGGGAATGCTCTTTAAGGTTCCCAATTATTCGCTGGCAGCTCCTGTGTGTCTGATGTCAGGTGCAGGGTAGGTGGGTGTGGTTTTGGGGAAACAGCCTTAGGTAGCTAAGTATTGAAGTTTATGGCACCGCTAAGCTGAACAAATAGTGAACCGAGTGGCAAGAAGTGTAAAATGGTGAACCACTGAAGCAAACAAATGCTTATTTCATATACATTTGGAACTAGTGCCTATTATCCAGGAAAGAGATGTTGGGACCACAGCAGCTAGTGCTATTAAAACTTGACTTGCTATGCATCAGCAGTGAAAAGGACAAACTGTATGTTAGGGTTTATTGAGAGAGAGATTGAAAATATAGCATTGCAGTGCCCTTTTATGCATCAAATCATAGCAAGATTGGGAATCCTGTATGTAGTTCTGGTTATCCACTCATTTTTATTTCTAACTTGGGTTTTGAGTTGGCTGGTATCAATTTTATTTTTCCTCTCTTACTCATCTGATCCAGGTATAAGCATAAACACCCCGAAGAAGCACCTGGAGCCAATAAGTCGTCTGCATGAGTGCTAACAGACAGAGGTTCAGGTACTGCTGTAGAAAACTGAATTAGATTGGTCAACGCAATCTAGGGATGTGGTATTAATCCCATTTCCCCTGAAGAACCTGTTCTGCAGTTTGTTGGTGCTGCTTAATCTAGCTCTGCTGCTGGACACTGAAGTAACATTCAGGAGCTTGCAGTATTTTTACCAATTGTGTTCCTTCTTCCAGAGAGATGACCCGGCACATCTCAGTCCAAGCAGGGTCATATAAGAGATGAGGTCCTTCAGATACCCTGGACTCAAGTTGTATAGGGATTTATAGATCATAACCAGCAATGGACTGGTACCCTGTGGTGCTGCTGTGACAGTGTTTCTATTCTCCCTGTAATTAGCTCCAGGGAGCAAACTGGCTGCAGCATCTTGGACCAGATGAAGTTTCCAAACACTTTTCAAAGGCCGCCACACATACAGGTCCTTGCAGGAATCCAAACAGGATGTAACTAAGGCATCCTGGCCAGAGCAGACATCTCCAGGAACAGGAACCGTGCACTCGTTTTAAATGTGCAAATGTGCTCCTGGCCACTGCCTAAGGGTTCAATCTAGGAGTACTCCCAAGCTGCGAACCGGAGTTTTTCAGGGAGTGTAACCCCCTCCAGCACATCATGAATCCCTAGTCCCTGATCTGCCTTTCAACTGACCATAACCTTCAATTATTTCACCCTCCTCCAGTCCGTTACTAACACCAAACCAGCTTTGTCATATTTAGATGGAAAGGAGAGATGGAATGGTGGCAGCAACCCCAAAACTCTGGACCTCTCCTAGAGCCATCCTGGGGCAGGACAGACCCCGAGGGACCCCTCAAGTTAACAGCAGAAGACCCACAGCAGCCCCTTCCCTAGGACTCAGCGGCTCAGGAGCACCATCCCTCAAGGACTGCCTCTCTCCTTATGAGCCTACCAGGCCCTTCTTTGTGCCCTCCTCAAGCGGTCCAGAGGGTGGCACTAGGAGAGCAGGCCTTTTCTGCAATGGCTCCCCCTTTGTGGAATTCTCTCCCCAGGGAGGTTTGGCTGGCACCTTCTTTATACACCTTTAGGCGCCAGGCGACATTGTTCCTCTTTAACCAGGCCTTTGGCTGATTGACATCTGATACCCTTTAAAATGTGTTGTGGAAGGGGGGATTATCAGGTTGTCTTTGCTCTTATTTTTGTTATGTATTTTGTGTTTCTTACATTGTAATTTTATGTTGTGAACCGCCCTGAGATCTACGGATATAGTGAGGTATACATATACAATAAATAAATAAATAATCACAATAAGATTATACAAGCACCACAAAACAATGCCTCCAAATCCTATCCCAGGGAGGTGTCCCACAGAGAAACCATGGCCAATGGAAAGTCCAGGAGAACCAACTCCTGCTGTCTGGCTCCTGGTGTAGGTCATCCACTAACACAACCAATGCTTTTTCTGTCCCATAATCATGGCTGGAGCCAGTAATAAATGGATATGGATGATCTGTCTCATTCAGAAAAGCTTGGAGCCGAGAAGCGGCCACACACTCCAGCACCGTGCCTAAGAATGGAATACTGGGGACTGGCCAGTCATTATCCAAAACTGTGGGGTTCAGGGAGGGCTTTTTCAGCAGAGGTCTTATCGCTGCCTCTTTATGGCAGGTTGCAACCCTGCTTTGCTGAACGTGTTCAATCGCCACCCTTGCCCACTTGGTTAGTCTTCCTTAGCTGCCTTCATGAGCCAGGAAGGGCAAGGATCCTGCACACACGTGGCGGCCCTCACCTCTCTAAGGAACCTGTCCCCATCCTCAGGCTGCACTATCCCAGTAAGTACGGGTGTTGCAGAATGCTGATGAAATTGGAAATCTGGAGTGGAAATTGCTGGTGTTCCCTTATTCACCCCATGTCTGAAATGGAAATCAATCTCGCAAACACAGTTGGTATTGGCTGCTCCCCCCCCCCCCCCAGTTAGCAAACAAGATATGATCAATAACTGAGGACACACCGTGTCAGGGAAGACAGTTTGGGGGGGGGGGGAATAGTTTAGCAAGCAAAAACGGGGCAGGCATGAAGAAAGTCTCACCTGAGGCTGCTGGAACATTTGTCGGGGTTGAAGCAGCTGCTTGACTCCGAGCATGAGCAGGTATGAGGGTCGAAGCCAGAGACGGATTACTTGACAGTTCTAGAAGGAAGTTGAAGAAGAGAGTATTCACAGCCAGCCCACAGGGAGCCTCTGCCAGTCGCTTCAGTGTCTCCTATCCCACACCAGCCACATGGCCGTGTGTTGCTAAGAATCGATGATTCTAACTGCTCAGACAACTTCACTGGGGAAAGACTGTCATCCTTTGCATCTTCTTTTCTGTTGAAAAGGTTTTTCTCTGCCATGATGTCTGCCAAATTGCCTATATTGCATTTCTTTTAATTTAAATTTCCCCCTTGTTGTCTTTGCACAGACTGTGCATTTGTGCATTTCTACACCCACACACCTTGCTCCTGGAACTGTGAGCTATTTAAAACAAAACAAGCAAAATGATTAGTACGATTACACCACTAAATCACACCAATAATGTTGAAGGGAAGCGAGTATGAACTATGAGATTGAAGCAGCTGGTCTTATATTGCAATCACTCTACCTTCCAAATCCCTAAAAGAAACTGTCGTTATTAGTACTATTTCAGCTAGAGTACAAAATGAACTGCTACAGACATGCCCTTGGAATGTGAGTTTCAAAGGAGTATTAGAATTGCTTAATGACTTCTTGTGACTGCATTCTTAACATCCTCCACTGTGGCTAGGACTGCCGACTGCCAGCTATGTCTGGTACCCCAACTATAGCAATATCTAGACCAGGATCACTTGGCCACCGTAGTCCATGCATCTTTAACCTCGAGACTGGATTACTGCCATGTGCTGCATTTGGGGCTGCCCTTGGGCCGGGTCCAGAAGCAGTAGGGGGGCAGACATACAACAGTGTGTGACACCTATACTGAACTAAAACATCTGCACTGGCTGCTCACATGGTACTGGGCCAGAGTCAAGGTTCTTGCATTGATCCTGTGCCCAGGATACCTTAAGGGCAATTATATCACAGTTTGACCAATGGAGAGAAGATGAGGTATACCTTAATTTGGTTCTGGACTATGTTTCTGAAACAGTATTGCCAGGCATTATAGTCGGGCCAAGCAGACACTCCCGATGTTATTTGTGAAGGTAGGTAAAATGAAATGATAACCTAGATGGTTGGTTGCTTGGTCGTTACATCAGACATAGGGCAGCAACCAGGTTTAGATGTTCGCTGGTAGAAAATGCTCTGGAGAAGGGCCCTTTGGTTTCTTTCTAATGGCAGCCTCTTGCACATTGTTGCTCTAGAGCAGTGTTTCCCAACCTTGGGCCTCCAGCTGTTTTTGGACTACAACTCCCATCATCCCTAGCTAGCAAGACCAGTGGTCAGGGATGATGGGAATTGTAGTTCAAAAACAGCTGGAGGCCCAAGGTTGGGAAACACTGCTCTAGAGAGCTCCTTGACAATGGAGACACTTGGTTGGGGAGCGTGCTGCTCCTGCAAAGGGGAAGCTCAGATACACCATGTATGAGGAGGACACCCAGGTGTGTGCTGATCGGAATCCTGGTCATAAAACTGCCCTGCTCTTGAAAGGAGCTGAAGGCTTGTCTAAGTGAGGGTTGATTTAGACATGCTGTTGTATCTACATGGGTTTTCACAGATGGTTGCATATGGTGAGGGAAGTGTACAGATGACATTTGTTTGTTTTTATTTCTGCAGGCAGTTTGGTTCGATGGCCCTCGTGGTCCCTTCTAACTCTGCAATTCTATGCGATCACCCAGAAGAGTGCTGCTAATTGTCCCCTGTGTTACAGAGGCCAGGCTGGCTTCAACTAGAAGTCAGGTGCTTAACATCACCAGTCCCATGCTGTGGAACATTGTTCCAACAGAAATTTGGCAGCTGCCCTCACTTTTGACTTTCAGGTGTCTCTTGAATACCTTTTTCTACGGACAGGCCTTTACGAAATGTATGTGCTTTCATTAACAATTTTTTAAAAAGGCTTTATGGTGTTTTTCCCTTGAGTGTTGCCAAGGGCCACCCAGAAAGGCCCCAAGGGCTGCAGGTTTGGACCACCCTGGCCTGAAGAATGCCCTGGTGGAGACCAAAGATAAGAAGAAGGAGCTTCCCCATAAGATGGAGGAGAGGAAAAGCCAGGAGGTCCCCTCCATCCATCCATACAGGGACTCCTTGGGCAATAAGGACACAAGGGCTACAGATCCCGGGGGCGGGGGTGTTATTTCTGGATTACTTATTTTGAAGTCAATCACAATCTGTCTGCTGGTGGCCAGCCAGTTCAAAACAGTTCTGACAGTCTAAATGGCTAACTAAACTCTCCTCTGTCTCTAACAACTCATAGAGACTACATGCCCCAATATTCATGGGCAAATGACCTAGGCCCAAACTATCCCTATTTTTCCTGATACATCACTCCTTCTATCCCCCTCCCTGGGGGCTTCCAATTTGTCTTTCAGGGATGACTTTTTAAAATAGGCATTTTTTTGAATGCCTACATGTGCCCCAAGCTGGCCTTAAATCCCCCCCACCTGCCCCAAATTGCATTTCCCAGCAGTGATTGCTGCAGAATGTGTTTTGAATTGCAGCTATTCTATTAGTACAGATCTCATGTGAGATTAAACTTTCTGTCAAACATTTTTGAGGGATGGAAAGTAGAGTGAAAATTTACATATAAAATAGGTAACAAAACAAAAAGGAAAAGCAGATACTGTACTGTCAGTTTACTAGCACATTTGCTTCAGGAAACCAACATAAGACAACCTACTGCACAGTAAAGTTCTACATGCTTGGGGCCAGCGGTAGGGCATTCTGTTTTTCACAAGTGTGTAATACTGGCGAGAATGCTCTTATAGTAGTAGTAGTAGTAGTAGTAGTAGTAGTAGTAATAATAATAATAATAATAATAATAATAATAATAATAATAATTTATTACTTACATCCCGCCCATCTGGCTGGGCCTCCCCAGCCACTCTGTCCAGAGATGGCCTCTGTAACCATCGACTTAAGCAGCAGTCAGAGTGGCAATGGCAATTGTTTTGAGAGCTGAATATGTTCTTGCTAAAGCACCTCCAGATAAAACTGAGCCACAACAAAAGGTCCTCCCGCCTGCTTGCCTGGGCCGTAGCCAACTAACGCATCCCATTTGTGCAAGGGTGTCCGTTTGCACAAGAGGTCTCTTCAGCCCCTCTCCCCAAATCCCTGTAAAGTTGGGGAACCCCAATAATAGATTTAAGGGGCACATGGGTGGGGGGAAGAGGCAAGGGAGTCCCTTTTCATAAGTGGAAATACTTCCACTAATGGCAGGCTTACACTACGTTGAATACAACCATTAATTTCCCCTCCAGCCTGCCATTTACAGAACAGCAGAAATAATCCAAGACATACCGGTGATTTTAACAATATTAGTTTGAACTGCCTCAAGTAATTCAGTGCTGAGATAAGGCAAATTAAACATCCAGTGTAGTTAACAAGCTGTTCAGAGCAGTGTTGTGGTTACTTTCATATATGCAGAAATGGAAGTTGGCATGGTGGGTCTCTGGTCAAGAGGAACTGGCAGCATTTACTGTTACCAATGCAACCAGGGAAGGAAGTACCATAACCCAGAGAGGAGCAAATGCTTTAAAGGCAGAAAAGGCGCATCTCAAGAGCAGCAGCATTTGTGCGCTTGGAAAATACTATCCCAGCACTCTCAGCACCCTTTCGAAACCTGACAAGTGGCCACGGCCCTTTCACTGACTTCAACGTAGAAAAGAGTATCTTCAAACAGGGCTGCAATATTATTAACTGGCTAAATTTTTTTTTTTAAAAAAAGCTTTAAATTAATTAATTAACATTGATAAAAATAAATGTAAAAGGTACTGCTGATTAAGCAGGTAACATTTTATTTTTTAAAATTATTTTCTATATAAAGGCAGCAGATGGCAAATACTATCTTCTCTCACATGCAAGCATAAATGCCTCTTCCAATGCCTGCTTTGACACATAGCATCCTAGAAAAGAAAATATGCTTCTTGCTTCAGATCTTTTTTAACCATGTGCAAATTAAATTGATATGTTAACCATAGTTGCCATAAATTGTTGAGCTGCTGCTTCTTTTTGGCAAAGCTGTTTGGCAAAATTGCAAGAAGAAAAATGCTGCTTTTGAGCAATTTTTATGGGAAAACAGCCCTGCCGACATGGGCAAATGCAGACGTATGGCAACCCCATGTTAACCGAAATGCATATGAGTAATTGCAATTGGGTTGCAGCCATCTTCCCAAAGAATCTGAACAATACAGGCCACAAAGAATGCTTCTGTTTCACAACCCCTAACAATTGTACAGTTCTTGAAAACATGTGCAAGGCAACTGCGAAAAGATACTTCCTTCGCCTGCATTTCAGCTGATCCGCTAAATCTGGACTCCTGGATGTTCTAAGTTACATACTCAATTAGCTTATTAAATACGATTCCTGGTAAAAATGTGAACATGAGCAGTAGTCTCTATTCTTCCAAGAATATTTCAATCTTCTATCTAACAAGCAATTTCATCTATGACTAACTAGGAATTGAATGTCCCAGTAATCATGGCAATCATGACACAGAAGTATCCGCCTATTGAGATTATGGATGTGTATCTATGTCAAACAGCCTTTCTTCGATCAAGCCAGATTGACTGAGGGGTAAAGAAGTCTCTCTCTTGGACTTTTTTAAAAACCCTTTCTCTACATCTTCTCAACACCATTCAAGCTTTGAAATATTCCCACTCTTTCCAGCTGCCCAACATTTCTATCCATCCCTTCTGACCACTATTTGAGATGATGCCATCTTTGTGCCATAAGAAAGTGCAGACACACAATCTTCCTTCGTGCTCCCAGACTACCTTGAGTGGTGAAGTTAAAGAGTGCAGGTTTCTCTCGCCCACTCGGTAATTTGATGTTTGGGTCCCGTAATTCATCAAAGAAAGAGTGTGCGCACGCTTCCAGCGGAGTCAGGCGTGCCGTGGGGGTATATTCCAGCAGACGGCTACATAGCGCTATTGCTTCTGGTGGAGTGCGGGGCCGGAAGACCTGCGGCAGAACAAGAGGGACAGTCCATCAATACTCTTCTTTGCTCTTGTCGTTGAAGGACGGAGAATCTGAGGAACTAAACCGCTCAGAGTAGGAATTAGACATTAGCTTATAAAGTACGGAAGCTTGATCAAGCTTCTAGGGTTGAATGGTTAAGTGCAAGGAAGGTTGTTGTACTAAGGTGAAGTTACAAAGTCACAGGGTGGGGGGGAACACAAGACACAGCTGAGAAGAACTTTTAGGAAGAGAGAAATAATCCATTCCAAACATAACAGGAATGCAGTTGGCCATGCATATGGGTTGGAGGAGAGAGAAAAGCAAATGAGCAGGATTTTCTGAAGACCACGTTCTGAAGCATTTACTGAAAGCAAAACTTTTAAGCAACCAACTGATTTTGTACTGGGTGTGGATTTATGCTGACTGGTAGGGACACTGATCAGGTCTCATAGTTTTGGTTTATCCTTTAATAATACACAGCAAGTAATTAATTAGGATAACTTCCAAATTTTAGGCGTTTGGGAGTATTGCTGAAGGGTACTCAGCCAGCTAGTTTTTCTCTCAGACATTTGCCATCGGAGGTTAGGTCAAACAGCATATATTTTTACTAGTCACAATCAGTCTTTTGTCACCAATGTTGCACTCCATCTACCTTCTCCTCTCTCACACACATAAAAATTAAATAACCACACATTCACAGGTTCCTTAAGCATTTTCTTTCACCTACGCTACAGGAGCAATACAGGTCATGAGCAAACAGTATATGTAAAATCTTGAGACAAGGGTGGGACAAAAACTGGCAAATCCAACTCACAAAACACAAAGGATGAGACTCAGTTGTGGCAGCTCACTTGCACAGTGGAAACCTGCGTTTGCAATGAGACTTTTGGTTCTACTTATTCCCCATCCCTGCACACGCCCAAAATCCGCCCAGGAAGGATACTCAATCCTCTGGAGCAGATTTCTGGGTGCATGGAAGGCTGCTAGCGGGAAGAGAGGAAGGAGAAACCCCACCGAGGGAACCGATTCCCACACATGTAAAGTTGGACCAAACCCCAAAGCAATAGCATATACCACATGCAAAATCAACTGCAAATCTGCTCAAACAGATTTTGAAGAGAAGATATTTAAATTCAGCAGAACATAAACTGTGTCAAGAATCTCCTCATCACTAATAATGGTATAAGCTATTGGTGGGATTTATCAAGAGTTCTGAGTTCGTACAGAAAGCTAGTTTACATATGTGAGGGAAAGTAAAAAAGCTGAAGAATTAAAAGACAAGAATTAAGTTAAGGCGGGCAAACGATCACATAAGCAAAACTCTTCTGCAGTGCCCAGATGTTGCAAGAACTATTAAACTGAACCAGGCTACGGCTTACTTTCATGCCTGGGGCAACTGTGGGAATAAGTGGTAATACCATAGTCTGAAAGGAATCCTATGGACCTCTAAAACAGACCATGATCTTAGCCCCTCTTCTGCTCTAGCCTGCTCAGGCCAAGAGAGAAGCCAAAGCAAGTCCCCTCCCCACGGGTATTGAATGCAGGGGTGCTCTTTTCAACCCAGGAAGAAATTACCATGTTGCACAGCCATAGTTTTTCTTTACTCTTAAAAATCAAAACTACATACACGTCAATGTAGCATCAGTGTAGAGGAGGGAAAACTGGTCTGGGAGAATCAACAGGTGAAGGAATGTTGAACTATTCCCTCCTGCAAATGTCATGAACACAAGCTCACTTCTCTCCCCCACCCTAAACTGAATTTGGGCTTAGTTCTAGTTTCAGAACCCAGCTGCAGAGGGAGAAAAGGAAAGGGCTAAGCAACTTCACAAAACACCTCTGAAAACTTCTCAGCACTTCTCCTCCTCTTGCCGGGTTAGGAGAGGTAATGAGAAGCTCCTGCAGCTGGCTTTCCTGGTACTACTCTGGCAGCAACTCCTGAATAGGAGACAGTGGCATCTGTGCCCTGACATACTTCTTGGAGCTACTTTTAAGTGCAACCGGTGACATGGGTTTATCTTTTACATTTTTACCAGGTGTCCCCTTCACTTCCAACAGGGATGGGGAATTTGTGACCCAGGTGATGTGGGACTACAGCTCACACTATCCCTGCTCACTGGCTCTTCTGGTTGGAACTGATGGGGGATGGAGTCCAACAACAAAATATCTGGAGGGCCTCAGGTTACCCATCCTAGAAACAATTTCACTGCCATATGTAAGAGAAAATGCCTGTGTTGTCCATCTATGATTGTGGCGAGACCAAGTTGTGGGGTCATGGCCGAGTTGTTGAAGCACAACCATGTTTCATCTCATAAATTTTGGGGAAATTATCTCCATTAAAGAAGTTCAAATTCTTTTTTCCAGATACATAATCCATCAAGTTACTGAAAATCCCACATTCAAATTTGGATATACATTAAACCAAACTTTCCCCAAATTTTATGAACCCCAAATATTGTCCTAGAGCTTGTCGAATAAAACTGTACCCCACCCCCATATGAAATCTGGTGGAAATTCAATCTAAGGTTGAAATGCTTTAGGTATGCTTGCCTCCTTTAAAATAAAACGATGCTTTGTATTTTTCTTCATTACTATCTTTAGATGAACTGCTAACTGTGGAACTTTTCTTTCTCTCTTTCTTTTTTACTTGTCTAGCTAGCAGAACTCAGGCTGACTCTATCTTTCACTCCTTCCATGAGTAAGCAAAAGCTATTCACACTTAATATGTCCTATAATGTACTGTAGCGTGTATTCTAGCTTCCACTATAACGGCAGGCCCTCGTGAAGATCAGGTTGCCCTTTCTCTGCTGGGACTTGGAAAAAGTAATTTGATACAGAATGTACTACATTAACAATGCCAGAAAATTGAAAGCCCAACCCCCGCAAGGAACTAGCAGCTAAAAACGAAAAACGTTGAGAGAGAGAGAGAACATTTGGCTCAGTGACCTCAATGGCTGCTTGGTGTCAACTCTTCCATCCTCATTTTTGCCTCTCCTCCTCCAACAATAAACCTGATGATATGAAAAAATATTTATGTACATACCCGTACTCCTGAGGTGAAATGTCCTGTTCCTGACGAGTCCTAAAGATGATAATGCAGTGAAATAATCCAAACAGGGGGAGTCAATCCAAAAGAATAGTCCAGCAAGGAAAAATATATCCAATATTATCAGAAATCCATGGTGATGGGGAAATATTAAATGTTTCATACAATTAGAACCTTTAAACATCAGTCTCCATAGCAGCAAGTCCAACTTTTTAAAAAAATGATTTTGCACGGGTGAGGCATAGTATAGAAACATTTTATTTTAAATGCATGTTCCAATGCCAGTGACTTTAGTAAAAAGTAACAAAAAGATGAAATCAAATGTCTATGTAGAAGTAAAATTATATACTGAATTTTCAATATTAAACTGCAGTCTTCTTCCCAGTCTTGGAGACAGATTTCCACAGACATGGGGAAAAACATGAGACATGCTCTCATGTACAGACTACTCTTTTTTTTCTTCCTCCTCTTTGTCCCAAAAGCACAAGATGAGAAGTGTTTTTGAAACCACGCATGTAATAGATAAAGATCTTTAAGATTCAGTACTAAAAATAACTATTTTAAAGTTCTATAAGCTATGTGTGTATCAGGCCGCCGCGGATTATTCTTCATTTTGGATTGACTTCCCCGCCAATGGACTGTTAGTCTTTAGCTTTTTTGGCAGATATCTCTTTAGGGTGCTTCAGGAACTGGACAGGACATTTCAGAAGTGCTGGTAAGATCTGAACTCTCCCCCGCCCCTTAACTGCGGCTTCCTTCCTTCCTTACGCCCTCGTGGCCATTTAAAAGGTGGGAGGATTTGTTTGGTTTTTTCTTTGACAAGCGTACACTGATAATGCAATGAAAGAAACACACTGCCGTTGTTTAACTCTTCTCACTTACTGCAACCTGTTCTACTGCCTTATTCACCCACCAAGAACTACATAGAAGCATACAAACAACAAACATTAAAAGCAAGGGACTGTCACAGTTACAGGTTAAGTGGTCGATAATACAGGTTGCCCACACTTAAGCACAATGGGCCGCCTTGCAAGCTGGGGGTGGTTTCAGCGTTCTATTGTGCCTAGGTGCAAAAGGGCAGGGGGCAGAGTACGCTGTTAGCTGTGAACCGTCCTCACTATTATGTTTTAAGCATCATGGTTACTGTGTTTAATGTAGTTTTCAGTGAGGGAATTTCTGGGGCAAATAATCCGCGGATTATAGTTTAGTCTGCGGACTAAAATTTAGCACTCGGTCTGAAAACCGGCCCGTCACAGTGAAATCTATTGCAATCTAAAATAAGTCTTGGTGAAGGAAAGGAAAAGCTAAGAGCACAAAAGAGAATGCAATTGGGCAGACTAACCTTTAGTATGCAGACTAAATACGGCCAGATAAAATGCACAGGAAAGCCACACGCAGAAAACAAAAACTAAAATAAAACATGTGAACACTGATAGGAACTTTTCAAGTAACTTTTAAATATTATCTCACTGGTCACAGATTTACTATTTTAGGTAGACTTGCTTGATTAGTTAAATAATTTTCACAGAGGAAACCACACTGAAAAATGCATATCTACATGTGGGCCCTGCAACAAAATGTCCCTGTTCAGCGCTCAAGCCAACCATAGTCTCAATTCCATGATATTCCACTTCCATTTTCCTTCCCCTCCATTACTGGAATGAAAAGTTAAGAATGAAGAGATGCTATTATCACCATGTAAGTTGCTTTGGACTATTTTATAAATTAACAAATATAATTCAAGTAATCTTAAATGAATTGGTTGGGCAGAAAGTAGAGATGACAAGTTTCTAAATTCTCTTTTGAAACAGTGGATCACAATAATTTAGAAAGAAGTACTTTCTAAATTATTGTGATCTACTGATTCAAAGCAGAACCTTATGCTTGAAAAGCGGGGGAACAACCCAAAACATTCATTATTGGGAAAAGGTGATTTTTCCCCCTTTCCCTCTTATTTGTGCAAGAGCTCTACTTCTCAATATATCATCAGGGCTGAATCAGTGCCATGATGGGTCCTGAGATGTAGCAGACTCTTCCAACTCCAAACTCATGTACCTGACAGTTGTGCACACATATGAGCATGCATGCACACACACACACACACACACACACACACACGAAGAGAAGAAGAGAGCTACATCATGCACAACAAAATGCAGGAGAGAAGAAACTGCTACACCTTTCCCATGCTTCCTGAAAGCAAAAAAGTTCCACCCCCTCCCCACCGACATGCATACATTTTGCAAAGGGGTCTCCCTGAGTAAAGGGAAATGTGGCTGCTGGTCCTGTTTCTGACTGCATGCAACTTCTGTGGCCCAACCGATTCTGAGGATGGTCATAAGGGGCACTCTTGTAGCTCTCCACTGCCCTCAGAAGCTCAGAGACTTGACACCCAGAGGAGGGCATTTTCATATAAGCAGTCACAAAGCTTATACAGTCATACCTCGGGTTGCGAAAGTGATCCGTGCGGGAGGCTCGTTCGCAACCCGCAGCGCCATGTCTACGCACACTTGTGACGCGATTCGGTGCTTCTGCACATGTGTAAAGCGCAATTTAGCGCTTCTGAGCATGCGCTGAAACCCGGAAGTAACCTGTTCCAGTACTTCCGGGTTTGGCGCGGTCTGCAACCCACAGTGTTCGCAACCCGAGGTATGACTGTAAACCAAAGTCTGTTTTTATTTAAAAGGAATGGACTATTCAAAACTGTATGGAATGCTACTCAGCCCATCTTGGGGCAGTAGGCTGTAAGTAGAAAGCGTGCGGTGACTCCTCTCCCAGAAAGGATCAGAGGAGAGGAGCCATTCCCACCATAAGGGCTGTCCTCCAGGGGCCTGTGGAGAAAGTGTGGGAAACTCCCCCCTTCCTCCTTCTCCCCGCCTCCCTCTCTCTCATACACACCCACCAGTAAATCTGGAGAAGTGGGAGCATGTAATAAGATGTGGCTGAAACAAAATACTGTGCTGTGGAATCAATGTATTCAGGGCTGGCCCAAGACATTCTGCTAAGGTGGACCACCAACCAAGTTATTTTGGCACCTGAGACAGAAAATCCCTCTCATTCCCAGAAGCAAAAACAATAATAGAACTAGCCATTTCCTGCCCTTTCATTACACCCCCAAAATCAGCTGCCAGAGGCGGCCTTCTCCTAGCGGCCAGACTGGCCCTTTACGGGAGGAAAATGAAGTTCTAAGGACACATCTGTGTGACACCCAAAATGAAACTTTTGCATCTCTCCTGTTCTGCAGGTGGCAGAAAACATAGGAAAAAAGAACATGCTTTCTGCTCTACATGGTTCCAGCCATCAAATACAGCCTTTGGGACTGCATGAATGGGGCAAATGAATTTTGACCCGATGCAATGAAGGTTTGTCACTTGCTCTGAGGAAGGCAAATGCATATGATGGGAAGGAGCAACTGTCTGTTTTCAGAGGAATCCCAAGCAGCGAAGAATGAAGCAACAGGTGAATGCAGATTGTTCAAACATTGCAGGGAGAGATATCATGATGTCAAGAAGTGGGTCCTGAAGAGGAACGCAAGGGTGCGAAGGCACCTCATTTGCTCTCTCTCTCAGGTAGTGGGGCAACCCAAAGCAAGTGCCTGTTATATGACTAGACAATAACAGCTATTAAGAAGAGGGAGGGAGGCACCCTGCAGCTAAAAATCCATAGTGGCAGTAGTCTTGCACACTTTGTTTTCTAAAGAACACAAAGGTTATCCACCCTACAAAACGAGAGGCTGATGTGTAACCTATTCATTTAAAACATTTCTACCCCACCTTTTGAGTAAGATGCCCAAGGTTGGGAACAATAACTAAAGTCAACAAAACAGTCATTGCAACAATAAGATCAAGGAACACAACAGCAAATAAAATAAGTAGCTGAAAGGCCAAACATTCTGGTGAAAGTAAAACATGCCAGGAAAAATGTAAATAATTACCTTCCATGCACCACACTAAATACTCCAAGAGGAGCTAAAACACTTTCTAGGGGTGGCCAATAATTACTTACCTGGAACCTTAATCCTGTGGACTGGGATTTTTTTTTTTTTTTACTAGGAGTCTTAATAATTAATCTGTTTTCGACAATACAAGCCCTAGGAACACACGGTTATCCGAGGGCCACAGGACCTCAATTTCCCTAACCGAGAACTAGGGGTGGGGAGGAGGAAGCAGGGGTAACCCTGCAACTGGTCAGAGACCTTTCCAAAGAGAAGAACTCTGGACTCATGGTCATCTGATGGAATACTTTGGTCCTGACCCGACCAGTTCACCCAGCGTCCAGACTTTCTTGGATGAACTCCAATTTCCGCCAAGCAAGGCATCCTTCTTATCGGTCTAGCAGGTGGGATTGTTCCAATGGTGCCTCCCTTTGCTACTGTCTCCCCCAACCTTATGCCCTCCTGGATTGTGGATTTATCAGTTCCTTTACTTCATTGGCTCCCTCTGCGCCCCAGTAAGATTCCTATGTGTAGAATGTCTTTTCAGTTACACTTCCATATGTTCATTCTGCATTAACTTTATGGGGTAATTTGGATGTGAAAATAAAGAGGAAGTCCTTTGTGAAAGAATTGGGTTGACAGCCAGATACCAGTTAACAGCATCAGATTGAGAACATTTGCCATTTTCAATTTTGCGGTCTAGCTGCCACTTACCACTAGAGCTGAATCACGGTATCTTCAACTACAGCTCCTTTTAGTGTCTATTTAGGAAATGTCAGCTTTGAGTGCCTAATGTCTCCTATTTTTGCTGGAAGAAATAACTGGATCTTCACGGAAAACTAATAGAGCATTCTATTCATTCTATTAATGAAACACTGCTTTATCATCTATTTGGCTGTTTCTTTAATTTTTAGTCAAAACTGAGTCAACAGAACATGATGTTTCTGGTATGCTGGACTCCACCGTGCCTTTATAGGAAGAAATGATGTAACACTGAAAATGTTTTGAGGCATACAATGTGGTCATGGTCCTATGGTGTCTTCTTTCTGGCCAGAAACTATTGTTCATATTAATCTTGTCTGGGATATTTGCAGATGATGACACACTCTTAAATTATATCCTTGAGGTGTGGTGACTAACAGATGGACAACAAAAGTGAATTCTGTGAGCCTTTTGGTGGCCATGAGACTTATATTGCAAGGTTAGAAGGCTAAACATCCACTATGCACCACTCAGTGGTCTGAAGATCTCTGCCCTTTATCTGAGCACATGACCAAATATAACTATTTGGACATAGGAACTGCTTATATTAATCTATACATTTAAATTAGGATTGATGTAATATTTGTATTATCAATGTCAACTGCCTTTGTTTGTTTTTTCTCCTTTCTCTCTATTATATTTTCAAGTTTGTTTTTAAAATTGCCCCGTGCAACAAAAATTACCAGAAATCTACAAAGAGGGCTTCTAAATTGTTATTGCAGCAATTATAACAATGAACTCTCAGTGCTCTAGCCACAGTAACAGAGGAAACATGGAGTAAGACTCCACCTACTGACCTGAAGATAAAATTAACCGGGCCATTCAGGGCTTTAAAAGTAAAATTGTAGTGCCTTGACCTGAACCTGCTACATGTTTCCTATACCCATGTTGAGCCTCACAAACTATCGACCAAGGATGGCTTCACACACAATGTGTTGGATAATTGTCATGAAACCATTTTTAGTGAGGACAGGGTGCAACCAGCTCACACTTAAGGAACTCTTTCACGGAGAAAATAATCCCACTGAAAGCACAGAACCTGTTTGTCCCCAAATGAGCTGACCTCTTAAGCATCAACATTTCTATCTTGCCTGAATTCTTAAGTCAATTTAATTGCCCCCATCCAGCCACATCCCAAAACATGTTTGTCTCTTCCAGCAGCCACAAATTTCAAAAGAATTAAATACTATTGGGTAGAACAACAGTCACTCAATATTACCCTCAATTTTGCTCAGACAGGAGTGGAACTATCAGAGTGTGAAGCCTGAAGACTGACAGCTTCTAGCAACCATATAGCGTACAATTCCTAGAACCTTTGTTGCAGATGGTAAACCACCACAACCAAAGTAGTTTCTATTCTGTATTCTGCCCTAATTCTGGATTGATATGGATCGTGGAGATAAATATAATCCAAGGGTCACTGGAACTGCAACCCTGCTGCCTACCCATCATCTCTCCCTCCAACTTTGTTCTCAGAATTGATTTCAGCAAGACCTTCTCAGTTAAGAGGACATGTCTAAGCTTAAGTTGTCCGAGGACTAAATATATGTAGGAAAACACACTCTGTCCCATTCACAGCTGCGATCCTTCCCTCCAGAAGAATAATGTGGCAAGGGGGAGAAAAGCTTGCCCTGGCATCTGCAGAGCTTGCTTCTCCCCACCCTCTGCTCTAAGTGAGCTGAAGGGAAGCTCACATTGGTTTCTGCCACTTTACAGAGAACCAAGTACTAAGAGGTGTGTGGATGCATGTTTGTTGCTTGTTTACAATTGTACTGTGATACTTCCCTGTGAGGCAGGAAATGGTTCTATTTTAATTCTATCGCTCACCTCAAGAAAGAGAATCATATAGGTTCACAATACATCAGGCCCTGCTTGTCTCCTTATTGGTGTGGACAACAGCTATAAACATGAACGATAAGGATCTCTATTCATTTTTCTTTTTGATTAATAGCCAGAACATTCATGACAAATGTGATACCACCAAATTTTGTATAGTGAAGTGCTACTGTTGAGGAATCCAGTCAATACTTCTTTCCTTTCTCTCCCTACACACCTCTGTTTTCTTTCACCCCCTCCAAAAACACTCAGCTTTCCACAGCCACAATGAGCATTCCTAACCCTCAATGGGGTTTTTTTGGGGGGAGCCCTTAAAAAAATAATTCCTGAAGATGTTTCGTACGTCTACAAGCCCTGGGGTTAACCTGAGCATACTGGAGCCTCCCTCTTGTTCCTCAGTTACTTTGTTTCAGCTAAAATCCTATTAATATTCACCAGCTGAATCTTCTGTTAAACAGGTGAAGCTAATCAAGTAATAAGACACCCTGAAACTTCCATATTTACACAAGACTTCACACACACACACACACACACACACACACACACACGAGAGTTGGCTATGAAGAATAAAGGGTTGGATTCCCAGTACACAAGTCGGAGGGGTGGGATGTAAAGGAAGGTGCAGTTGAAAAGAGAAATATGTGTTTCACCCCACCTGACTGGAAGTGTCTTCCAGTTACAGTACCAAAAATACCATTGTGAACATGGTTAAAATACAGGCATTGACATTTATAGGACCACTGAGTAAAAGTGCCTTGGTCTGCTCATTAACTTGTAAAGATTAATGTATGGACCTCAGCGTATCCTCTCCAGGCACCCACTACTAGTTCGAACAGGCTCTCACCTTAGTCCATGGATGCGCCTTAATCTGGGGAAATTTAAATTCAGTGTAGTTTGGATTCATTTCTCTAATCTGTTCTCTTGTAGGCGTTCCAAGGACCTAGAAAATAGAAAACGTGGTCTATTAGCACCTTGAAACAATATAGCTATCGCAGCCAACATCTGTAGCACGCAGCACTTATAGTAAAAGGAATGGATGCAAACAGGAACTGCACATCTAGTGATCTCTCCAACTGCGGCCAAGTTTACATTTTAATCACTGGCTGTATCTCTTACTATTCCCTGGAGTGCCGATCGCATAATTAATTCAAATGTATGTAGGACTATGCACCATAATTAACATTATGCAGACCATCTCTGAAGCACTTAAATAATTTTGTACAAAATGCACTTTAGATAAGCCAAGTGCTACCTTAAACATACTTTATTTTACTACCAACAAAAAGAACCTTCATATGAGTACATTCTATATAAGAAATGCCCTTTTTTCCCTCCTCATGGTGTGAGTGACGGATGATTTGTGTCCAGCTCCATTAAAAAACATTGCCTTTGAGGGGATACAGCCCTATCTGCAGCATCTGATCACAGCAACTCAATCACAGAATGTATATTCTATGAGACCTGTTCAGACCTGCATTTGCAAGCACAAAAGTTGTATAAGGAGCCAAAGCACACAGCATGTTCTACAATGTGGACATGTTAAGACTTAAAATTTTGCTGTCAAGAGAAGATGAACACTGAAGGACAACAGCTGTAGCAGAAACTCCTACAGAATGAATTTCATTGGATACACACCAAGAGATCTAAATGAAGAACTAAACTGAATATGATGAACTGAACAAAATCTATTATTTTGTCTGCATGAGAGCGATATATCTGTGTGCATTTATATAGGTTTGACCACTGAATTTGGTGGAGAACAATTTTGTTCTGTCAATCACAGACTGAAAACCACCCCTTGACGCTGATATAAGCCGACCTAGTTTCACAACTTATCCTCTACGTTCCTCAATTCCAGGCATGCAATTCCTTTTGACAACTTCTCTGGCCCTGATATCTATCACGTGTAAGTTACAGGGCTCTGTTTTTTGAAGTTGGATTGCGGGGATACAAAACCAACTTAGAATTGGGTCAAAATACATTGAAGGAAACTTCTGAGTCGCAGCAAATACACCTGCTTCACAAATCATCAGAAGATTTCACTCTTTTCCATAGCTAGGGAAGACTACTTGCTACTGGATCATGTCACAATTAATGAGCAATGAACATTGTGAGGGGTGTGGGGAGCAGGAATCATTATGTCTGGCCATTTGGTAGTGATTCCAATACGTATTTTTGCACTTTTAGATACGTTTTCTGTTTTATATTTATTACTTATTTAGGTTATTCATATCCTGCTTTTCATGGCAGAAAGATTCACAAAATGGGTTTCTTGAATTTCTAATGTAGTGAAGCGACTCTGAGTGCAGAAGGGGTAAAAATTACTTATTTACTTACCTGGAAAATAGAAGCCAGTATCACATTTACTTTTAAATATAAGGAGGGTTTTATATAAACCAAAGTTACATTAAAATTACTATTATTTCATTTCCAATTTAAAATGATGCCCAAATAATAATAAAAACCCCTCATACCTTGATTATTTCCACCAACTGATCTACACCACTGTCGCCTGGAAAAATTGGTTGTCCTAGCAACAGCTCTGCCAATACACAGCCTGCAGACCAAACATCTGGGGGAGGGGGGAAGAAACACAGGAAGATATTGGGGGTTACATAGATCAATTTTCTCTCTCTCTCTCTCTCTCTATATATATATATATGCACGCGTGCGCACACACATATATATACACACACAGTATAAATAGAAGCAGAACAGTAAGGCTTACTTTACCAGGTAAGCATTTAGGCAGCTACAGAGAAGCACCAACAATGTTCATACAAATGGTACCTTATCTGAATCTGTACCAGGTCAAAACTTGCAAAGCAAAATTATATACAAAAGTAACTCAGTAAGACGGTGCCGGTGTTCTTTTCAGATTTTGCCAGTTTCCACACACCCCTCCTCTAATATGAAATTCATTCTATTCCATAGATATTTCCATTTGCATCTCCATACTGCCGCTCACATTCCCACTCACTCTCATTTCAGACCTTGTCGCCTTGGCTCACCGCCTTCCTCTCTAACAACATCCCAATGCTCTACCCTGGTAATTTCAACATGTGTGGTTCTTTTAAAAATGTGTTTTTAGTAACAAAATATTACTCAATATTGTTTAGTCGTTTAGTCGTGTCCGACTCTTCGTGACCCCATGGACCAGAGCACGCCAGGCACTCCTGTCTTCCACTGCCTCCCGCAGTTTGGTCAGGCTCATGTTTGTAGCTTCGAGAACACTATCCAACCATCTCATCCTCTGTCGTCCCCTTCTCCTAGTGCCCTCCATCTTTCCCAACATCAGGGTCTTTTCCAGGGAGTCCTCTCTTCTCATGAGGTGGCCAAAGTCTTGGAGCCTCAACTTCACGATCTGTCCTTCCAGTGAGCACTCAGGTCTGATTTCCTTAAGAATGGATGCGTTTGATCTTCTTGCAGTCCATGGGACTCTCAAGAGTCTCCTCCACCACCATAATTCAAAAGCATCAATTCTTCGGCGATCAGCCTTCTTGATGGTCCAGCTCTCACTTCCATACATCACTACTGGGAAAACCATGGCTTTAACTATACGGACCTTTGTTGGTAAGGTGATGTCTCTACTTTTTAAGATGTTGTCTAGATTTGCCATCGCCTTTCTCCCAAGGAGCAGGCGTCTTTTAATTTCGTGACTGCTGTCACCATCTGCAGTGATCATGGAGCCCAAGAAAATAAAATCTCTCACTGCCTCCATTTCTTCCCCTTCTATTTGCCAGGAGGTGATGGGACCAGTGGCCATGATCTTCGTTTTTTTGATGTTGAGCTTCAGACCATATTTTGCGCTCTCCTCTTTCACCCTCATTAAAAGGTTCTTTAATTCCTCCTCACTTTCTGCCATCAAGGTTGTGTCATCTGCATATCTGAGGTTGTTGATATTTCTTCCGGCAATCTTAATTCCGGCTTGGGATTCATCCAGCCCAGCCTTTCGCATGATGAATTCTGCATATAAGTTAAATAAGCAGGGGGACAATATACAGCCTTGTCGTACTCCTTTCCCAATTTTGAACCAATCAGTTGTTCCATATCCAGTTCTAACTGTAGCTTCTTGTCCCACATAGAGATTTCTCAGGAGACAGATGACGTGATCAGGCACTCCCATTTCTTTAAGAACTTGCCATAGTTTGCTGTGGTCGACACAGTCAAAGGCTTTTGCATAGTCAATGAAGCAGAAGTAGATGTCTTTCTGGAACTCTCTAGCTTTCTCCATAATTCAGCGCATGTTTGCAATTTGGTCTCTGGTTCCTCTGCCTCTTCTAAATCCAGCTTGCACTTCTGGGAGTTCTCGGTCCACATACTGCTTAAGCCTGCCTTGTAGAATTTTAAGCATAACCTTGCTAGCGTGTGAAATGAGTGCAATTGTGCGGTAGTTACAATATTACAGAGCCATTATTGGTTAGAGTGTTGGACTGGGACCTGGAAAACCACCGTTCAAATGCCCACACAATCATGAAGCTCACTGGGTTACCTTGGGACAGGTACACACTCTCAGCCTAACCGACCTCACAGGGTTTTTGTGAGAATAAAGTCAGGGAGGAGAATTATGTGTGTCACTTTGAGCTCCTTGGAGGAAAAGTGGAATATAAATGTAATCTAAATAAATAAATAAAATGTTTATATATACAATGTAAAATTTAAATCTCAAGAGAGGAGGAAGGCACTGTGCATTCTGGATTCTAGTTCCTTGTAAAGGACAAATCAGCGTAGCTCAAAGAAGACAACTGAACACTATTGTTTACAATATGGTATTGTGGCAAAGAAAGCTGCAAGAAAAGAAGCCTAGTTTCCAATATTTTAGAAAGAAGAGTGCTGCTCTACCAATACTGACAAGATCGCATGCAGAGTAGTCTGCTTCAGTCCCAGGTATACGTTAGAAAAGCCGTCCCCAATCGGGTGCCTTCCAGATGTTTTGGACTACAACTCCCATCCGCCTCAGCTAGCAGTATGCATGAGAAGAATGATCCTGCTATGCTGGAAAGGGTTCAGGGAATGCTTGATGTGGCATGCTGAAAATGACTCAGGAAACAGCAATGATAAGGCAATGGACTCATTAACTGGAACGATGCGTTTTCAGGTGACCACATAAGCTGACCATATCAGCTAGAAAACTGAAGATTTCACTTATGTAATAAATAATGGGTGGGTCGTGGCTGACATTCTGCTTCTTATATTTCTGCTTGTTCTAGAGCTGTGGTAGAAATGTCTCATTTTAAATGCAACATGGTAGCAAACTGGACTTATACTGAGAGACCCAGATTCAAATCCTCAAGCATCCATGAAGGTCACTGGATAAGTATGGACCAGCATCGCTATTTCTCAGCCTAATTACCTAACAGTGTTGTTGCAAGGATAAGAACTGAGGGAGAAAGGCCATGCACATTGCCCTCAGCTCACTGGAGGACTGGGAGGATTTGTTAAATATGCAATTAATCAATCCAATAATCTCGAAGCCAGTCCAGGGTCTGATGCCATAAACTTCCCTGCAGCAGACTTTGGGTAACCTTTATGCCTTTTATAGTTGGGCTGTCTCACTACAAAGCAGAGCTTGCATCCTGCAGAAATAAACAAAGGTGGCATTGTTGATATGGCAAAAGAAAAGGATCAGAAAATGCCACGATGTCACACAGAAATAGAGGTGGAAGGTCCTGAATACTAGAATTTGCCTTGGCTCCATTTAACAGGATGCTGAAAATACAGCAGATGAGAATCTTTTATCTTGATTTTCAGGTTGGTTTTATAATGGAACAGCATGGGTCACCTACCATTCATTGCAAATACTGGATATCCATGTGAACTGTAGCTTTGGGGGGGATGGAAGTGCAGTGTTCCATAATAGCGCCTCAACAGGAAGATTTTAAGCGGTTTTGTTGTTGTTGTATTTCAGGATAGTTGCGATTGTGTAGTCTACCATTCTGATCACATAAAACATAAATGATTTAAAAATAAATACACACATACCTATACTGGAGGTATAATCTGTAGCTCCAAAGATCAACTCTGGTGCCCTATAGTACCGAGAGCAGATATAAGAGACATTAGGCTCTCCACGAACTAGCTGTTTTGCACTAGACATGAGGAAAGAAAAAGGAAAGTGTTATTTTTTAAAACAAAAACATGCAGTGCAATTAAACACACAAATGTTATTTTGCTTTAAGATGAACCTTCATTTGCAGCTCTTCACTACGTAGACCTCCTGTTGCATACCTTTTCACTTTCCCAAAGTCTGGGAGAAGGCACAGATCAGGGGCAACAGAACCACAGGATCCGAACTACAGAAAAGGCCCAACATCTTTAACAACAGCATGACAGCTGTGTTATCAAAATATTCTGCCTCATTATGAATCTAATTCAGAAAAGGATACCACTGCTATCATATTCAACAGAGAGAGGGAGTTATGACACCATGAAACACATTAACTGTGTTTTGGCTTCCTGGTCTTTGCAATACAATGTACCACAAGGTACAATCTTGTCCCCAATGCTGTTTAAAGCTATATAAGGTCTATGGATGAAGTTCTTAGGAATTGGGGGCAATTGGGTGTCATCACTTCTCTACTTCGCCATAACATCTGAGTCACAAGGGGTTTTGCATTCTCTGGGTGCCCTGCTGGACTGGATGAGGGTCAATAAACTGAGCTTAAACCTTGGAAACAAAGAGACACTCTGGGTTGGTAGTTCCCGTGCCCAGAAGACACACCACAGCTAGGCTACTGATGGGGACAGACCATTGCCAGAGCATAACTGCAGCACTCAAAAGTCGTCTGCAGCACTCAAATGTACTGGCCACCTGTACATTACCAGGCCAGGTTCAAGGTTTTTGTATTAATTTAAAAAACCCTTAAAATGCTTAGAGACTATTGTAGTTAAGTGGTATAGAAACTGTGCAAATAAAATAAAATAATGAATTCCCCAGACACTTAAATCATTAATTCTTCTATAGAAATGTCCTTATACTGTCAAGTCTTACAAATTTCAACTACTCCATTAGGCACTAAAGTCCTTCTAATGACCTGCTGGGGTCAAGAGGAGGGGTGGTCAAATGTTGCACTCCCAGCCGTGCCAATGAAGTGGCCCTGCAGAACTACTCTTCCATCCTCTCCTGCAACCTGAGGAATGGCTGCTGCCAAGTGACAGCCGCTGGCGAGAGAAGACTGGCATCTGAGCAAAGCAGATATTGCCCCTGCGTCCCTTCACTTCTATGCTGTAACAATAATGCCGTTGTGCAGTTTGCCTGTCTTTAAAATATTTACTTTCAGACAGATCTTCTTTCACCATATTTGCCACAAGACTAATGTATTTATTGCAATGAGACTTACTGTGTGGTACAAAATGGCCTAGCTGTTGCTTCACCATAAGCTTCAATAGACATACCTATCCGATGTGACTCAGCCATGGAAAATTTAACAGAGAGGCAATCAAGCGCACTTTGCTCATTTCCAAAATTAAGTGTAATACTGTTATAAATGGGAGTGGCCTTGTCATGCAAGCCAGAATAACCACAACTACTGAAATGGAGCTCAGGATAAACACCACTGTCCCTCCACTATGTTCAACTGGACTAATTTTTGCCAGAGACACTTACCTTCCAAAATCACAAAGTTTTAGGACAGCTGTGTCGGGGTCCAGCAAAAGATTTTGTGGTTTTATATCCCGATGGCATATTCCAAAGGAATGGATATAGGCTAAACTTCGGAATAGTTGATACATGTATAACTGGAATATAAATAAGAGATTTTAAAATAAATATTATCTCCCATACTAAAACATGGCAGGAGGTTTAACGTACTAACTTTTCTATAATGCTTGACAACTAAAAATATGGTTAAAACCAACACTTCGATGTAATGTCCAAACACTGTCCTTCTTTCATAATAAATGTATTATGTGTTTTATTTCTTTCTTTCACACTTGTCTTCCACTTCAGAATTCAAATCAGCTTAATAATAGAAACGATCAAAACAGTAGCAGAATAAAAAATAGAAGTATAAAATTATTAGAAAGATTAGACAATAGCAAATTCTAGTTCATCAGTTATTTTATCAATTAAACTAATTAACACTACTCTGTATCAAATCTAAAGAGGTTTAACACTTCCTCCTCATTTATAAAAATAGAGAAAAGCTGAATACTATTTCAAATTTTATGGAAACAAGTACTGTGGAAAGCTGAGAAAATATTTACATGCAAGAAAAAAGAATGAAAACCGAAGGGAACAGGAAATATGAAAATATTTTTTAAGAAAGGCCCAGCTGACAATGGGGACAATTATAGAACAATTAGCTTAGTATCTATTATGAGCAAGTTATACTTCAGATTCTATGGCAGTGTTTGATTTGCTCCCCCAGAGACAAGCTATGACTGAAACTGAGTAATGTCATTTTTGATAAAAGACTGCTCCATCTTAGTCTCTGAAAAGAAGTCTACACAAAAGAGTCAGTTATTGGATGGTCAAACTCCAGAACAGGTAAAGAGTATTAAATACCTTGGGTTACTGTTCTATACAGTATTTCTTGGACCACATATAGACTCTATGATGTCCAGAAAGTGAATACAAGTGAGAGGGGCATTACGAAGGGTGAGCTCTGTCACACAATTAAGTTACCGAGCTCAGCTCTTTTATGGAGTTCTACTGTGGGGATAGTCATCTGAGAACTGGGTCAAAATACATTCAAAAAAACTTACTGGAGTCCCTACAAATACCCTGCCTCGTTAATAGGAGGGGTCTTTCACTCTCTTCCAGAGCTATGGGACAATATTTCTTACCAATTTGACTTATTACTTGTTTGTTACCTGTGGAGACACAGGGAAGAAAAGCCATTTGGCCCAAGCCACACCAAAAGAATCCAAAGCTCTCCAAGGAGAGTTGCATACTCTATTTTTGCAGTCAGCACATGGGAAGCAGACTAGTGACTAAACCAGGGACCTAAAATGATCTAAATCCATCCCCTTTTCAAATTCCTAACTAATTATCTGATTTTTATTTTATCTGTCCTAAATGTGAAACAGGGATGCAAGATCTACTACGATTAAAATATAAGAGAGAAATGAAAGAGGTAGATATACAAGAAGCTTGTTTAAGTTTTACTCAAATCCATAATTGCAACTTCTGAACTCTATGGAACCATTCCATCCTGATATTTAAATTTATATTTTATTTGTATTTATATTATATTTATATTGCATTTAAATCCTGATATTTGAATTTAAATTTCACCTAATAATGGGTGGCTTCAATCATCCTCACATAGAGGATAATTCCAGGCATGATGAAGAGGTAAAATGTTTAAATATCCTTAAAAACTGTGCCATAGATTAGCTGGTCATGGAACCAACCAGAGGGATGTCAGCCCTGAACTTAAGTGGCACGCAGACACACAGAAGCTAGTGCAAGCTGTGCTTTTGAACCGGCCGGGAAAAGTGACCACAGTACAAACAAATTCAACATATATGTAAGTGGACAACTGCCAAGAAAATCAAACACAGTCACGTTTAACTCCAGAAATGGAAACTTCCTCTTTCAGCAAAAGAAATTTAAGCAGACAACAAAGGATACATAAATAAAATAAAAGACTGAGCAGTACGTTGCTAAAAATGGAATAAACAACGACAAAAATCTTTAAATACATGAGTAGCAGGAGACTGGCAGGGAGCCGGCTGGATCATAGGATGAAAAGAGTTAAAGTTGTGCAAAAGGAGGAGAAGCAGACTGAGAAGAAACTGAATGACTTATCTGCATCTGTCTTTACAATGGAAGATAAAGGGCGACTCCATACACCTGAACTTTTGAAGGAACTGAGGAACTGAGGCAAATTGTAGACAAGAGACCAAGTTCTTGTACTTCTGGCCAATGAGCCAAACCATTTCCTCCAAACCATGCATACCTGTTAAACAGCTGATGCCACTGGGCGATGGGCAGGGTTCAATTCTGCTGAGTGCTGCTTTGCCAGCATGTTCCCTGTGGGCAAAATGTTGGCAAAGAAGAGCCTTTCCCCCAAACCCATGAGTCAACCTGACTGACAGGTGGGTTAAAGTTAGCCGGGGGAAGATAACTATCTGGCCTGCTGAGCCAAAAGGGTTCCCCATCCCTGTTCTAGGCCTTACTGACAAAGTAAAAACGGTCATCACATATTGTCTTGTCAAATCTTGTGCTGAAGTCTTGCCTGTGGGTTTCCCACAGGCCTCTGGTTGGCTGCTATGAGAACAGGATACTGGACTAGGTGAGCCGTTGGCCTGATCCTGCAGGCTCTTCTTATGTCACCAAGTCCAGGTGGCATCTACCTGAGAGCATTTAAGAACTCAAATGTGGAATCGCTTATCTGACATTATCTGACATTTAGAAGACATCTGAAGGCAGCCCTGTTCAGGGAAGTTTTTAGTGTGTGACATTTTAATGTATTTTTATCTTTGTTGGAAGCCACCCAGAGTGGCTGGGGAAACCCAGCCAGATGGGCAGGGTACAAATAATAAATTATTATCATCATCATCATCATCATCATCACCACCACCATCACCATCATCACCACCACCATCATCATCATCACCACCACCACCATCACCATTATCATCATCATCATCATCATCATCATCTTGCTTTACCTTTTTTTATTAACATAAAATAAAGATGCAAACCAACAAGAGGTGGGTCCCTTCTGCATTATCATTACATTACACCACATTTCTAATATAACAGCTTTGTTTTATTACTGGAATGGCTCATAAGAAGGGGACAGGAGAACAGAGTATGTTACAATAAAAATATCTATGGATTTTGCTGGTTTTTAATCTAATCTATACATAATCCACACCCTTTAAAAAACACTGAGGATCGGGGGCGTGGGGGTGGCAGCACTGTCTTTCTCCAGTTTGTTCACCTCTATTAGACTACTTACTAAATTCGAAGAAATTTTATTACATTTGGGTCATTGGGGCAGAGGACTGGAATCTGCTCTTTATAAGGAACTGCCCATGGAAAAGGTGAAGGCTATGAAGCCTCAGTCATAGCAGACAGGAAGGCCACAGTGAGGAGTAGGCTGCATTAATCCAGCTTCTCAACTAACAACAGTGTACTGTAAGAGTTACAGGCAACAGTAACGCTAATGGTGTGCTATTAAAAACGCAAGTGCCTAAGATATTTCAATTAATTTATTGTCCAAACACAGGCCAGGACATGTCAAGCAGAAGCTATTCATTAGAACAGAATCAACAAAGCTATTCCTGCTCAATATCTAAAACAGTCCTTGTCGTTTTTGGTTTTTTTTATCAGTACTTCCAAGATACTGCAAGATTCAGCCTTTCTAGTTTTTTGGCACTTTGCTATATAAGCTGGAAACCCATTGGAGATGGCAAATGGAAGCCATTTTGGCATATGGGTTGCATACCTATATAAGTAATAAAATTGTAAGAATGTCATCATGCTGCAGTTCATGGGGCCACCACTGGGTAGTGCTGCAAACTACAGCATGATGACCAACTAGACCAGTGGTGTTAAAGCTTTTTTCAAAGAGGGCCAGATTTGATGAAGTGAAGGGCCGTGAAGGCCGACCGAAGGGCCGACCAAAGTTGTTAACCTTCTTTATTATTTTACCCCAGGAAAAACTGCCACAGGGGCCGGATTAAACCGACCGACTGGACGAATTAGGCCCCCGAAACTGACTTTGGACATGCCTGAACTAGACTCTCAAAGCTACTGGGCCATCACTGCAGCTCGGAGGTAGAGGAGGAGGAAGATAGAGGCAGGACATTCCTGGCCCAGGCCAATGAGTGTATCGGCATGCCAGACAAGTAGACTGGCTAAGCCAGCCTTCAGCTTCACAACTGCAGCAGACTGAGATGGAAAAGGGAGAGCAGCCCTGCACCGCTCCTTTCAGATTGGAGTTTGAAAGAATCAGTGTTGGGCTTAATTTTCCAACCTTCCCATACACCCTTTGTTGCTGCCACTGCTTGCAAAATTAAGGGGAACAAAGGAGATAAAGTCTCCTCTTCCCTCCCCAACATGGCTGCCGCCACCACAGCTGTTGCTGTGATAAAGAGAAGTTTGTATTTTAAAATGCAGCAAGACTACATAAAAGTTTGGTAAGGTGTATAGGAAGGGGAAAAGGAGTTGGCAGGTGGGAGATGGGCTGGAAAGCAGGGGTAGTAACCCCTAGCAACCTAACAGAATCACAGAATTGTAGAGTTGGAAAGGACCAGAAGGGTCATCTAGCCCAGTGTTTTTCAACCTTTTTTGGGCAAAGGCACACTTGTTTCATGAAAAAAAATCACGAGGCACACCACCACTGTGTGCAGAGAGGGAGATGTCAGAGCCCCGCTGCTCTCTATGGGGAATCGGATAAGAGCGGACCGCCTGTGGGCGAAAAGTTGACATTCTTTAAATAAAAAAAATCTTTCAAATTTTTCAATTTTTCCCACGGCACACCAGGCAACATCTCGCAGCACACTAGTGTGCCACGGAACAGTGGTTGAAAAACACTGATCTAGCCCAACCGTCTGCATAAATAAAAACATATAAGTATCATCTGTACACTTCGCTCACCATGTGCAATACCCTTGAAAAAGGTATTCCATGAAATCTCATGTAGATATGTCTAAATCAACCTTCACTTAGACAAGCCTACACTTCAAGAACAGGGCAGTCGTATGGCACATCTGAGCTTCCCCTTTGCAGTAGCAGCACGCTCCCCAACAAAGTGTCTCCACTGCCAAGGAGCTCTCCAAAGCAACACTGCACAATGTGCAAGAGGCCGCCATTAGAAAGAAACAAAGGGCATTAGCAGACCCATTTCTACCAGCGAACATCTAAACCTGGTTGCTGCCCTATGTCTGATGTAACAACCAACCAACCAACCAACCAACCATCTAGGTTATCATTTCATTTTACCTACCTTCACAAATATCATCGGGAGTGTCTGCTTGGCCCGACTATAATGCCTGGCAACTCTGTATACTGTTTCAGGAACATAGTCCAGAACCAAATTAAGGTATACCTCATCTTTCTGGAAATGGGAAAAAGACAGGGATGAAAAGAAGAAAGGTTATATGAAACCAGAAGTATGGTATTTTTTATGGCGCTTTTTACAGGAGGGAAACCATATTTTTTTTAACACAATCTTGTTTACATCCATAGACCATATACCAGTAAATGCATTAACTTTTGTAGCACAAGACAACCATGTCTGTAAATGCCATATCATGCAGATTACGGTACATTTTTTCAGTGCAAATGAGGCCAGGCAAGTAACAGGATTACTTTGACTCATATTTCAACCCCTTGAAAAAGGTATTCATCTGTTTAAAAGGAATTGTATTTAAAACATATGCAAGTATATGGTGACAAGGTATCTTCAAGTACTAGTAACAGATTGAAGGGCAGGCTTCCTGGACGATGTGTTTATGAGAACTAGGTACCATGAAGCATGGGATGGGAAGACTGGAAAGAAGAAACCAATAAATTTAGAAACTGCAAAATGTAACCTAAATGAGGCATGTGGTTATAACAGTTCCTTCCCAATGAGTGCCATTTGCAATTATATTTTGCACATTTGAGATTTTACAGGGTACAGTTAAAATACTGCCTCTGTAGGCATATGCGTTCCAAATGATCAGCATGTAGTAGCAGGTGGCAGGGTGGGGCACTGGTGTTCTAGCCTCCGATGTCACTGTTGCATACTGGGAGGGAGAGAGGGAGGGGACAGGCAGCGGCAAAGATGGCGTGGAGCAAAAGCACTGGCAGAAGTGGTGGGTTCTTGCTCCCCCCCCCCCACGTCCCAGTATGCAGCAATGATGTGGGCAACCAAAGATCCGATGAGTACCCTGCTACATGCTACAGCTCTTGACCAGTCTCTAAAACCAATTATTCATCTGATTTAGCTTCTCTCTCTCTATCTTTCTCTTAGTAAAGGTAATGGGACCCCTGATCATTAGGTCCAGTCGTGGCCGAATCTGGGGTTGCGGCGCTCATCTCGCTTTATTGGCCGAGGGAGCCGGCGTACAGCTTCCGGGTCATGTGGCCAACATGACTAAGCCGCTTCTGGCGAACCAGAGCAGCGCCGGAAATGGTTTACCTTCCCACCGGAGCGGTACCTATTTATCTACTTGCATGTTGACGTGCTTTCAAACTGCTAGGTTGGCAGGAGCAGGGACCGAGGAACGGGAGTTCACCCTGTCATTGCGGGGATTCAAACCGCCGACCTTCTGATCGGCAAGTCCTAGGCTCTGTGGTTTAATCCACAGCACCAGCCGCGTCCCCATCTTTCTCTTACTTTCTTTATAAAACATTCTCTTAATGTGGTCTCCCTGTCCAGAAGAGGGTGCTGATGATGCCAGCTCAACTGAGCTCCACAGCCAAAAGCTAGCAAGTTCTCATGCATCCCATTTCTCCCCCTGTAAAGTTCTGATTAAATTCCTCCTCCTTGCCACTGTTTGTTCACTCACCCACCTTCTGACTTTGAGGGCTACTTTTGTAGGATGGTGACAAGAATGAGGAGGAGGAGGATGCACAACTGCCTGAAGTTTGCCAGCAATTGCTGATTCCACTACTCAGCTGCTACCATCTCACAAACCCAAATGATTTGCTTCCTGCACACCTCTCAAAACGTACCTTCTCTCCACTGGAGTAAAAGAAATAGCGCAATCTGACAATGTTACAATGATCGAGCTTTCTCATGATTTGAAGCTCTCGATTCTGAAAGAGAGAATAATATTTGGCAGGTATTACAAAGGCACACAACCTATGATTAATCTTTGCATTAATTTATTTATGTACTGCTCAATTGTCAAAATGGCTTCTAAATGGTTTGCAAGTATACAGCCCAATATAAAAATATATTATTAATATTAACAGTAATATAATTTTATCAAAACATTCAGAATGATACATTTTAAGACAATTAAAATAGTGTAACAGTTAAAACAGAAATTACAACAAATAGATCAAGCCAGGAATTGAGGGTAATGCTTCTCTGAACAGGTGTGTCTTCACAAGCCAGCAGTATGCCAGGGAAGCTCCTCATATTTCAGCAGGGAGATTAATTTCATACGTAAGAGTTTAAACTCATTTGTTTTGTTATAAATTACCTCTCATTACAAAATCAATCGTTTATTTACAATATTTATATACTTCCCGATAACCAAGTTTTTATGGACAGTTTACTGTAAAAACTGAAAACTTCAAGAAGTAAAATATAAACATGAAAAATGAGACAGAACCAAACAGAATATTACATTAGTGCAAAGAATTTTAAACACACTAAAATAATTAAGACTAAATGGTCTGGGGAACTAAAATGGTATTTCTCTGGCACTGAACAGACCCCCCAAGTAAGTGTCAAGTGATCGTATCTGAGGAAGGCATTCCACAACTGGGGTGTGACTACTAAAAAGGAATTCTTTCCAGTAACTGCCCACTGCACTCCATTTGTCAAACTACGTTAGTATGTGGAAGGCATGAGGACAGGATTCAAGAACATTTCAGCATAGCTAACCTATATTTTGCTTTTCAGAAAGCTTATGGATCTTAGACAGTGTGACACACCATTGTGCATAATTCATGTAATTTTGCACTTTAATTCACTACACAAGTAAGGCTACACCTGAAACTAGCATTGACTCTGTGACAGTAAAACTCAGTCTACAGTCTCTGTCATTGTCTAGTTCAGGGCTCTACCACTGTGGGGGGCCTGAGAGCACATTTGAAAATCTAAGGAAAGTTCACAACAGTCAAGCACCAATTTTACAGAAAAGACTGGTGTACTCAGGGACCCCCACCAACATCACAGAAAAAAATACAACAGGCCAAATCCACAGAACAAGCAAACAACCCCAACCAAAACACGCAAATAAAATTTAAAAACTGAAGGGGCACAAGGCTTTGGAGGGCACCATGATACCTTTGAGTATCTATCTAGGGACCCCAGCTTTAGTTTGGGGGCAGATAGGCAAGTTAAAGCTATTCCTAAAACCTTAAAGCCCAGCATTAGAGGACTCTCTCCTGCTCCAAAGCAATATCCTTGCTTCCAAATTCAAAAGCAAAAAAGTGTCTCAGACATTTCCCCTTACTTTTTAGGAGGAAAAAGTGTGTCTTATGGAGCGAAAAATATGGTATTTGCTTTGGAGGTTGTTGGGTCAAGCAAGGAGAGAAGGCGGACCTCAAAACCCTCCACAATAAAACCCTACGCCACCCCACAATAAAATACAAAACAGTCTTTTCTAGCTTGGAGTTAATTTTAATTGCTCATATTACATCGCAGAGCCTGATTCCCTCCCACTGAATCTTTTGTGTCCCTACTTTACTTCAGGAAGTGACCCAAGACTCTTCCAGATCCCGCACACCAATGAAGCTTATTTTCTAAGAGGTGAAGGGTTAAGGACATAGTGAATCCCAAACTTTGGTCTCCTGTTTGTAGGTGTATGAGTTGTCCAGGTCTTTACTTCTGTCACTCAGGGTGCCTGGGGAAAGCACTGAGTTGTAAGCTAAAGCCCAGGTTCCCTTTGTCCCTTCACGCTCTTTGGGCCAGTTAATAGCTGGTTCTGATCCTTTTCTAAGGACCAGGTGAGCTATAAGGGGTCAGGAACTTTGACTGAAACCACCACCTTTTTCTTGCCCCTTCCCTGTGCAGCAGTATCACCAGAAATTTAAATGCCTCCATGTTGCTTCACTCTGCCTCATAGGGTTCATCCCTTTTATTGACTTGGATGGAGGCTGATCTGCTCAGCAGAGGTGTACTGCACCAGCTGTGTGGTTCATAAGCAGTTGAGTGACTCAGCTGCTTCTATGTAAAGCCAGATCCTCATCTATCCCTGGGAAGCAGTGACAGGGGTAAATCTCCCACTGGCTCAATGTATTATTACTTGGTAGTTGGTCTGAAGGCTGGTATAAGGAACTGGCATAGTTAGGGAGCTGCTGAGTCCTTTGGCCACTGCTGATCAGAGATGCTGGAGCAATCTCCAGTTTCTCGATGGGAGAAGTGTCTGGTGGCAACAGATAAAAAGACTGAGCACAAAAGAATCACATTCTGCTGGTTCATCCAGACACCCTCCCAGCAAGAAATAGACTGCCCCAGGGGAAATCTCCAACTACCCATGGGTGAACATGCCTAAAGGAAGCAGTGCAACCTTAATATATCTGAATAATTTGAAGTTTTAAAAATGAAATGACTAAGAAAGTAGTTTTCTTTCCACCTGATTGTTGAGATGTCATCACATCACTACAAGGTCAAAAGAAATGCATTACAGTTCAAAGGCAGAATTTCCAGCTTCCTTCCTATATATCCTGCACAAAAATACAATCATAAGACTACAGTGTCAATGCTCACAATATACTCCCTAGGGAAACATCACTCATCAAGGACTGACTCATAAGAACAGAATAAATAGTATCATGAATGTTCTTGACTTTTCTTACTTCTTACCTTAAACCTCTTGTCTTGCAGAACTTTCTTAATGGCAACCAGTTCTCCTGAATCACAGAGTTTGGCTTGATATACAACACCAAAAGATCCATTTCCAATCACTTTGGTGTCTGTGTAACTAACTTCTTGAGGCCTGTCTGGACCCTGTCCAGGAGTTGCTACCACTGTGGTCACTTTGCTGCCATCTTTGTCTCCTGGAATATACAAGAAGTGAGACAGTTAATATGGAAAAATCTATTACAAAAGAAAATATCACACAAGGTATATGTCCATATAGAAAACTGTGTTATGAGAGATAGCTTTTTAATAGGCATTTCCTTATGAAAAAGAGTATTCCCAACTACTTATTTGTTCCACTATATATATATATATTATTTCTGCAGTTTCCTATTTTCATAAGATGGAGAAATATAAGCTGACATATTTATTATTGCTTATACTGTTCCAATGAATATGGATCTACTGATTTTACTGAAACTACTGCAATAAATCTTGAGTATCTGGCTAAAACCTGTAAAGTGCTATTCAGGTGAGACTGCCAGTGAACTTCCTGATAAAAAAAGGACATTGCTGTGCAAAGTCAGAGATCTGGGACACATGATGCCCACTGTAACACATTTCTACTTTTCTGCAGATAAAAGCATTCCTATCCAGTTCTCCTTTTAGCTTCTTCTCTCTGAAGACTTTGAAGATTTGGCATTCAGGTTATCAGTAGCATCAGGGTTAAGAACACAAAAAGATAAAAGTTCTTACATTATACTTGGCAGAATATCAGTAAGATTTGGGCTCCCTTATTGTTTTTCAGTGTTAGTTACAATAGAGTATATTGGTCAACTATGAAAATAACCTGAACTCAACTGGGTTGCTTCTTTGAGAAACGTATTCTTTTAAATATGCAAAGCACTGAAAAATACTATAATAAAATCAATACTGAAAGGTTAACATTGCAGAAGCACTCAAACAGAAACTCTGTGCTGGAAAGAACTGATCCTTTTTTTGTTTTCAGTTTTACAATTACACCATTTTCCATTCTTATATAGTAGTTCTTTTCGACTTCCCACTCAGCATTCCATGACAGTTCTTTTTAATTCTTGCTCAGCTGCATATGCATCAATTCTTTCATCTTATTTTCCACACTTTAGTATCTTTTATATTGTCTCCTGTTGGTCTCAAAGTATCCCCTACCTGGAATTTATATTTGAGGACATTTTTTGTAAATATTCCGCTAGATATTCTCACTCACTCCTCATCTTTTTGTCATCTTGATTTCTTATTTCGGATGTCATACTGGGAAGCTCTGCATATTCAGTTAATTTATTTAGCCATTGTTCTTTCCCTGGGGTCTCTCTTTGTTTCCAATATCTTGCATATACTATCCTCACAGCTGTTGCTGTATATAGAAATAGGCTGTGAGCTTTCTTTGGTAACTCATTCCCAAGTATGCCTAGAAGGAGTGCTTCCGGTTTCTTGGGAAATGGGAATTTAAATATATTTTTAACTCGTTGTACACCATCTCCCAAAATTCCTTTGATCATTTACATTTCCACCATAAATTAATAAATGTACCCCCTACTTCTAGACATTTCCAGCATAGTTTTGAGCTTCTTTTATACATTTTAGTCAGTTTGATTGGTGTCAGTACCATCTATATTGCATTTTTTAGCATATTTTCTTTTATATGATCATTCAGAGTTCATTATTGAATTCCATATTTTTCCCCACTCAGCAATTTCAATAATATGCCTAATATCAATAGCCCATTTTGTTCTTGCCTCCTTTATAAGTTCATCTTTAGTCACCCATTCTAGCAATAGTTTATATATTTTAGAGATTTTTTTGTGTTAGACCCTAAAATTGCTTTTTCAAATTCTTATTCTTCTTGTACAAATCCTGTTTGTTTATCTTTTTTAAACATCTGCTTTGTTTGGAAGTATTGAAACCAGTCAAGTATCCAATTTTGACACCTCCTCCCTATCTCTTAGTTTTATGTTGCCATTTTATATTCAAGGAGGTCTTTGTCCTTTTCCCAGATCCTATCCATATTTATCCTTTTTACTGCAACTGCTTTCACCAACCCGGAGTGTTACTTTCTAAAATATATTTATGCCTCATCCAGACCTTAGACAGACACCTGATTTAAAAATCCCTTGTGTACCCTAGTTTTCTTATACCAGAGATATACACATGCCACCCATAGATCAGATCAGCACCTTCTAAATCCAGTATATTTACACCCTTCAATTTGATCCACTCTTTCATCCATCTTAAACAGGTTGCTTCATAATTTCAAATCTGGGAAAGCAAACCCACCTTATGTTTTTCATCTGTTAGTATTTTATATTTAACCTTTGTTTTTTTCTTTTGCCATAGAAAGTTTAGTATGTCTTTTTTCCATTGTGTAATTGTGTAAAGCAATTGGAGTTAGATATTACCGGTAATGATTGAAATAAAAATATCATTTTGGGGAGAACATTCATTTTAATTACAGATAGTCTACCCAAAAATGACAGATTCATTTGCTCCCATTTTTTAAAGTCTTTTTTAATTTCGGTCCACACACTTTTATAGTTATCTTGAAATAAGTTCAGATTTTTAGATGCAATCCAAACTCCTAAGTATTTAATTTTCTTTTCCACTTTATTTCCTAAGTCATTTCCCAATTCTCTCTTTATCTGGTTATTTATTATCTTTATTAATACAGTATAAAGCTAAGGTTCACTAGAAATGAAGTTCATCCACCTGGTAAATAAAGGGTATCCATGTTAATTGTGTTTTTATTTTTATAGACTTGTTATAATTTCTATTATATCAAAAGTCTGGAATGTATTACTGATGTCTCTGGCCACTTTTTTATGTCTCTTGACCTGTTTTCTAAGATAACCTTGTTCTATACTTGATTTTGTACTTTTATTAAAAAATCTACATTTTAAAAAGCAGACAAAGATGGTGGACACGTTGCCACCTAATAAAGCATAAAATCAACAATATGCATACGTACAAAATATCCATTCCTCATACATTCAAATAAAAATGTTTATAATTCACTAATCACTCATCTCCGGCCCTGCTCCGTCCAGACCCGCTGGTCCTGGAAACAAGGAGAAACTGTATTATGAAAGAGTCCTGAGTATCTGTTTCTTAAAAGACACTTAATGCAACATTCAGATCAAGTTTTGACTGAGGAAGGAGCATATTATTGTTTGGTGTGGTGTGAAAATAGCAAAAAACTAATCTAGAGTTTCCTTGCTCCCAACTACTCATAACTGATGTGATAGTTTGTCCACAATGGTTACATCCCATACATTGTGATACAACAGTGGCCAAGTCCAGGCATTCCACGTTCTTCTGTTTTTGAACTATCACTAGGATGCTATTAGAAATATTGTTGTTGTTGTTGTTGTTTAGTCGTTTAGTCGTGTCCGCCTCTTCGTGACCCCCTGGACCAGAGCACGCCAGGCACTCCTGTCTTCCACTTCCTCCCGCAGTTTGGTCAGACTCATGTTTGTAGCTTCAAGAACACTGTCCCACCATCTCGTCCTCTGTCGTCTCCTTCTCCTTGTGCCCTCCATCTTTCCCAACATCAGGGTCTTTTCCAGGGAGTCCTCTCTTCTCATGAGGTGGCCAAAGTCTTGGAGCCTCAGCTTCAGGATCTGTCCTTCCAGTGAGCACTCAGGGCTGATCTCCTTCAGAATGGAGAGGTTGGATCTTCTTGCAGTCCATGGGACTCTCAAGAATCTCCTCCAGCACCAGAATTCAAAAGCATCCATTCTTGGGCGATCAGCCTTCTTTATGGTCCAGCTCTCACTTCCATACATCACTACTGGGAAAACCAGAGCTTTAACTACACTGAGCTTCAGACCATATTTTGCGCTCTTCTCTTTCACCCTCATTAAAAGGTTCTTTAATTCCTCCTCACTTTCTGCCATTAGAAATATTAGTAACTCTTTTAATGTCTGAATTACTATGCTTATATAGACTTAATAAACATAATTGAGGGGTAAGCTCCATGTTTTATTTCAATATCTGAACTATTTTCTGAGAAACCTCAAACAGAAAGCATGCCACTAACAAGCATTCCTAATCCTACCACAGTATGCACCTTTATGACTACAATTTCTCCAACATATTTGAGTTACTGGGGCAAGTAAAGTTGCAGCTGTGTCAAAAGGGATTTGCAGAGAACTTTGAAGCCTCAACTATCAGCTGATTGTCAGTGCTTCAAAGACTCTCTGCAGGCACCAATGATCAGCTGATAGTAGGAGCCTGAAAAGAACCTTGCACAGCTGAAATCCCAACCATCATCTGAGATCAGCTGCACAGAAAACAGTTTGTATTCAAAGTGCTTCCTCCAATGCTTTGAATGCAAACAGCTTCCCCTGGAAAGAAAGAAAAAATGAGGGTTTTCTTTTCTTTCCAGAGGAAGCTATATGAAGTTTTTTCCACAAAGGCAAAAATGCTCCTTTTAGGAACATTCTCCCCCCCTGCAGATACTTTAAGGCACCTCCTGTCCTGGCTCCACTCATCAAATTCAGAACTTGAGCTTTCACCACAACCAGGTTTTATTCAGGAATTCAGCACAGTACCCAAACATAGGTCTACAGGTGACAAAATAAGGCACAACAGAGCTTTAAGTTATATGACCAGGCATTGCTAAGCTGCTGATTCAACGAGCAACATACACTCCACACTGTGCCGGCCAGGCACTCCTCTGAGTTGGCCAAACATGCAGTGTCAGCTTGCACCACCACTGGCGTCACTGTGTCCTTTGAGATTGATATGCCGAAAGTAGCTAACTACCTAGGTACCTCTCCCAAGGGGGAAGGCTTCTCCCTGAAAGGAAAGGGCTCTCTAGCCAGTTCTCTCGCAGGTACAGAAGCACCCAGAAGACCCACAGATAATTCATTCAAGCCCTCCTGGAGATCCAAACCTCCCCCCATCAATGCCACTAGGACCTTCCCCTACATCATCCATTTCTTGGTGTCCATAACCATCAACCCCGGCCCACTAGAGCTCTCGCCAGATCAGACTCCCCCAAAACCATCCCATTCCTCCTCTGCATAAGACCACCATCTCCAGGAAGTGTCCTAGGGACTCATTACATCTCTCTTTAAGCAGGGATAAGCTAACTGACGTTTACTGACCCTCTTTGAAAGTGCGCTCCCGGCTAGGCGGTATCTGGTTTTCAACATTGTGA